GGCAGCTACAAGCAGGGCGCTCGCCGCGGCGACGCAGCCTCGCCACAGCCACGCGATCATTCGCAACAGTCACAGGGTGGCGAGCGCCGCCGCCGAGATGGTGCCGCTGTGAGCCCTGCGCCACGCGACGGTTCCCGCCGCAACGCAGCTCCTCGCACCACTTCGCCACCCGCAGACGCCGCCGCAGCCACTGCCGCTGCCACTGACGCGTCGAGCGACAAGAAGTCTGCCACCGAAGCACCCGCCGCCACTCCCGCCGCCGCCGCCGCCCCAGCCACTGCTGCTGCTGCCGCCGCCGCGCCTGCCACTCAAGCACCGACTGCACGAAAGGGTGCCGCTGCTGCCGCCACCAACACCACCGGTGTTGTTCACAACCCCATCGCGATCAACGCCAAGGCACCTGCCTCCACCAACGTGTGGTCTGCCAAGGGCGCATCTTTCGCATCGGTTGTGGGCAAGGAGTCGCGTGAGGCTGCTGCCAAGGAGGCTGCCGCAAAAGAAGCTGCCGCCAAGGAGGCCGCCGCCAAGGCCGCTGCTGCTGCTGCTGCCGCCGCCGCCGCTGAGGAGCAAAAGAAGCAACTCGAGGCGCAAGAGGCCCAAAAGCAAGCAGCTGCCCAGCAGCAAAAGCAAGAAAAGCAGGAAAAGCAAGACAAGGAGAAGCAAGAAAAGCAAGACAAGCACGAAAAGCGCGACAAGACACACAAGCAAAAGCAGACACAAGAATCCAAACCCGAAGCCGCCAAGTCGGCTGAGGCTGCCAAGCCCGCCGAGCCTGTCGCTACCCCTGCCGCCGCTGTTGCCGAGCAACCCACCACCACCACCACCACCACCGCCGCCGCCCCTGTCGCCGCTGCCGCCGCTGCCCCTGTCACCCCTACCCCCACCACCTCCACTGTCACCACCACCTCGACCGCCCCCGCCACCGCGTCCGTCGGCACCATTGGCCAAGCCAAGACTGCCCGCGCCTCGAACGTTCCCGCTCAGGCTGTCGTTCTCCCCTCTGCCAACCTTGCCAGCCTCGAGCTCCAGTTTGGCACCCTCAACTTTGGCTCGTTCGCCGACACCAAGCCCGCCGCCGCCGCGGCCACCACAGCCGCTCCCATCGCCGCTGCCGCTGCTGCTCCCGCCCCTGCTCCTGTGGCTGCCCCTGCCGTCGCTGTCGCCCCCGCGCAGCCTGCTGCCCCCGCCGCCCAGCCCCAGACTGCCGCCGCTGCCGTCTCCCCTTCCGCACCCGCTCGCCCCGACAACAAGCAGTCGCAGCAAGCCAGCCTCCAACACCAACAGGCTCCCCAGCAGCAGCAGCAACAGCAGGCTCAGCAGCAGCAGCAACAGCCGCAGCACCCTCACCACCAGCAACACCCCCACCACCACAACCAGTACCAGCGCAACGCCAACCAGTTTGTGCCCCAGGGCCAGCGTGGCGCCATGCCCCTCATCGCCCAGCCCCCAGGCGAGCAAGCCATCCCCGTGTCCTACATTATGGCTCCCTCTGTTGCTGGCTTCCCCCAACAGCAGTACGCCCAGTTCATGCAGCCCCAGCACCTCCAGGCCCAGCAGCAGCCCCAGCTGTCCCAGCAGCCCCAGCAACAGCAGCAGCCGCAGCAGCAGCAGCAACAGTCCCAGCAGGCTCAGCAGCAGCCGCAGGCGATCGGCCTGTCGCAGACCCAGCAGCCCATTTCTGGCGCCCAGCAAGTCCCTGCTGGCCAGCCCCAGCTCCAGGCCAACGCCATGTCTTCGCAAATGTACACTGATGGCATGGACATGAACGCCAACATGTTCTACACCAACTACCCCTTCGTCCCCCAGCCCTACTATATGAGCTCTGAGTTTGACAACAAGTACGACTTTGCCTCGATTGGCGCAACTGGCGCTTCTGGCCCCGCTGCCAACGGCGTCCAGCACCAGCAGCAGTTCTACCCCTACCCCTTCTACAACCAGTTCCAGCCCTACCAGGTCCCCTACATGAACGTCCCGTTCAACAAGGGCGGCCACGGCGGCCACGGCGGCCACCACCAGGGCGGCTCTGGCAAGGGCGGCAACTACCAGCAGGGCTATGGCAGCCACCACCAGCAGGGCCAGCAAGGCGGCCAGCAGGGCGGCCAGCAAGGCCAGGGCCAGAACGCTGGTCAGCAAGGCGGCCAGCAAGGCCAGCTCAGCGGTGCCGGCAACCAGCAAGGTGCCCAGTTCCAGCAAGGCGGCCAGCAGGGCCAGGGCCAGCAGGCTACCTCGCAGTCGCAGTCGCAGCAGCAACAGCAACAGCAGCAACAGCAGGCGCCCCAGCAGCAGCAAAACCAGAACGGGCTTGTCGGCTACCCCGCCCAGCCCCACCTCGGCTTCCAGGAGAGCTATGACATGAGCGGCATGATGGACTACAAGGGTGCTCCCCAGTTTGTCTCACCCGGCTTCATGGCCCACCCGCAGCAGGGCGGCATCCAGCAGGGTGGCTCTGGCAGCTACAACAAGTCGCGTGCCGGCTACTCTGGCGCGTACCAGAACCCCAGCTACGGCTCTCAAGGCCAGCCCGGTGCTCCCGCCCAGCAATCTGCTGGCGGTCAGTTTACTGGCTACGGCGGCCAGCAGCGTGGCAACAACACCTGGCAGCAGTAAAAACAAAACAAAAACAACACCAAGAGAAAAGTGTCATGCTTTCGACACGCCTTGTTTGGCATCCCTTGCACATCCTCTCAATTCAGGTTTTGTCTAAATATGTGTTTATGTGCATTTTTGAGAGGTCTATGTTTGACGAGCTTGTCAGGCAGGCTTTTGTTTTTGCTCATCTTTCTCTTTGCTGTTGCCGTCCTTTTCCCTCATCCTTTCTTCTTTTGGTACAATACAACTCGTTTATTATTAAGACATTGTTGATTCTTCAGATTTTAGAATACCGTACTCTCTTTTTTTTTCTTTTTTTTTTTGCTCGAGCATGTTTCTTCGATCTTTGTGCATTCTGTCGCTCGCTGTGCTAGTGGCCGGCTTTGCCACCGCCGAGCAGCCATTCACGCAGCCCTTCTACCGCACGTTGTCTGTGCAGAGCCCGCCGTTGACAGGTGGGTGACCAGGCTCGCTCGTGACTCGGGTGGCTGCTTGAGGGATCGAGAGCGAGAGCGGCACAAGCGGGTTCGACACGGACGAGTCTACCTTCGGGTCGCTCGCCCCGATGCCCGATTCTGAAGCTACAAACTCGTTGACACTGACTGTGCAATGCCGTACTTTTTGTTTTTTTGGCACATCTTGACGTGTTCTTCTTGTTCGAAACAGGCAACGACATTGTTGTTCTCCAGCACTTTTTGCAGCGGCTCGACACAGTCACCTCTCTGAACGTGACTGGGACGTACGACTACCCCACGATGACTGCCGTGCTCAAACTTCAGGCGACCGCTCGACTGTGCGTTTGTTGGTTTGGTGTCGTTGTTGCTGCCTTTGCTATCAACTTTTTTTTCGCGTCACGTCCTTCCGCTGCTCCGCTCACTCCTCTCTTTCTCCCTCTTGCATCGATCTGTTGATGCACGATTGTGTGCATTGCGCGATTTTTTGTAATTGAAGGAATGTGACCGGTGTCGTGGATCAGGCAACGGCTGATGCTGCTCTCGACATGCTCTCGCGCGATCACTATGTTGATGTTCAAGGTCCGCTGCCTGACGGATACCTGTACAAGGTAGGGTTGCATATGAGCAGAACGCCCCAGTACCACTTTCAGTTACGGCCATATCTGGTGGAATGCACCGCATCCCGTTCCGCTCTGCGAAGTTAAACCACCATGAGAGTAGTTAGTACTGCGGTGGGAGACCACGCGGGAATACTGCTTGTTGTAACTCTTTTTTTGTTTTTCGTTGGGCTTTTTTTTTTTTCTTTTCTTGAATTTGTGGGGCTTGTCCTGTGTGCCCTGACTCTGGTTTGCCTAGGTCGTTGTTCCCGTTCACTCCAACCGCTCCATCGAAATGATGGCCACGCTTTACGACAAGCGCGGTTTGTCAATCTTTACATTCCTGACTCGGTGAGATTTTTTTTTTTTTTTTTTTTTCCTTTTTGGCGTTTCTGAACGCAAACCTGGGACCTCAAGCTCACTTGTTTGATTCCAAAACAATCATAGTGCTGAAGGCCAAAATGATCCCAATACTGGGGCACCGTTGAATATGGTATGAGTCTGTCGTTGAACAACAACACACACAAACACGTACCGCATCTCTGATTTTTTATGCATTTTTCCTTTGCTCAACAGTTCAGCTCGGATGGCGCGACACCCACTGGCCTCATGTCCTTTGATTTGAATAGTACATTCTGAGCGAGGCTCGCATGATGGGGTTCACCGGTGTGCATTTTCTTGACCTTGCGTTTTTGTGAATGCGTTCAGGCCCCGAGGACGATCCGACCGAATACGGACCTTACCCCGTCAATCGCGCCGTGCTTGGTCTCGAAGGTAGGAGCCGTCGTCGTGTGTGTCGTTTGTAGAAGACCTGGCGCTGCTGCTCACTTTTTCAATTCCACCCCCCCCTCTTCGCTCCGCCGCCAGGAAACGCCGCTTGGCTGTTGCCCAACCTTCGAAATGGCATTCTTATGCACACTGGCGAGTGGCCCAACTGGAACACCAGCATGCCAATGCCCAACTCGCACGGCTGTATCCATAGTTGGCCTCAGAGCATTTACACGGTCTGGCAGAAGCTTGTTGCACTTGGTGTCGTTGTTCATCCCAACACGAATGGCCAACTTCCGTACCCCTACAAGCCGCAGGTGAGTTGCATTGAACTTTCTGTCGAGGTGCTGGTTGCGGGGTGCGCGACGCTTTGCTCTGACGTTGTATTTTTGATTCGTGTTTATTCCTCAGGGTCTTCTCGTTGTCCAGCAGATTGACTGAGGATGTTCAGAAAGACGCAGGGACGTGTATGGCAACCTCGAGACTGAGTGAGACATCCGTCTGTGAAAAACAAAAAACAAAAAACAAAAAAAAAAACAAAAAAAAGAAATACACTCCGCCCAAAATCCACCGAAAAACCTGTGTGATCAACATTCAACCAGCCAGCCAGGCTTGCACTGCTTGACTAATCTAACTAGCTTCCAATAATTCGAAATACTATTGATCGGGGAGACGCGCATGTACCAAAATCAATGTCGAAATTCACGCAGAAAAGCAGAACGCTCCTTCCGCTCACAACTCATCAGAGTGGCGCAACAAGTTGGTGACAAGTGGCAAACGAGCAAGACCATCGTTGAGCGAGTCGAGTGACCGCAGCGACGAAATCCAGCGCGCAGGGATGGCCTCAATGCCTTGGCTCGCACCAAAGATCATGCCAATCACCATGCCGCGCGATGCAGCATCGCCACCAAGAAGGGCGTTGGCAATCAGAGCCTCTTCCAAGTTCTTGGAGCGCAAAACGAGGTAGATGGCAGCGGGCAGAGCGGCTTCGGTGGCACCAGACTTGGAGATCATGAGCAAGGAACGCGCGTTCATCTTGGTCTTTGGGCGGTTTCGGAGCTTGCTCTCACGCGCGTTGCGCTCCTCCTCTGTCTCAATCCGCTTTGCGCTGGATGAATCGGCACTCGAGTCCTTGCCCTGAACATCAAAGTTGTTTTCCTCGACGAGAATGTACGTGATGGCTTCCTCGTTCAGCATAATGGTGTCGTGTTCCTCGATCTTGGGATGCGTGTAGCCATCCTCTTCGGCAATGTCCGCATGGTCGAAGGAGATGTGGTTGCTTTGGGCAGTTGCGGCCTTGGTTGCGGCCTTGCGAGCGTACGAAATCCAGCGCGCCAGACGAACAGCACCATCGTCGTAGTCGTCGTCCTTGGTGCTGTCGCCAGTCACGTGGAGTGAAGGGTTGGTCTTGAGACGACGGTTGCGTGCGTCCTGGTGCTGGGCCAGCATGAACTTGAGAACAGCATTGATGGCATCGTTGGGGGACTGGCGAATGTGAACAATGCGGTAAATCACGCGAGCAAGGAACTCTGCAGCATCGCGAGGATCCTCATTGTCATGCGTAGCATCCGACAGCAAGCGGGCCTTGGTCGCCAGAACAGTTTCGTCAGACTCAACACCGACCAGAGGGAGGAAGCGCAGACTCGCGTCCAGGGTGTTGCTGGTGCTTGGCGGTGCTGCTCCGTACGCCTGTCGGGCAGCCGAAGAGATGGCTGTCTGGATCGCAGGGACATTCAACTGGGAACTTCCACTTTCGTACTGCTTTTCGACTTCGGTCAACGTGGCGAGGACGACTTGGCCAACCTCGGTGAGATCGCCAGCAAACTTGCCTTCGTTCGTTTTCGACTTTTTGATGGAGGCAGCGAACTCTCGGATTGTCTTTGGGAAGGCCGACCGGATCTTGTTTGACTGGTACTCGCCTTGGGTTGACAGCGCAAGTGCGTCGCCAACGAACGCACCCAGGAGCGCAGCACGGATGCGTTCGGGAGCTGCTGGGCTTGCTGCCGCAGGAGCAACGTTCCAGGCAAGCGTCGCAAGCAGCGCGACTGCCGCCACTGAGAGGATGAGCTTTGTGGACCTCATTGAGCTTTTCGGGGTCCCTCTATCGATGAGAGTGGCGACATGATGGTGAGTGCAGATGCATTGAGGTAGCAAGAGGAGAACTAGCGCATTGCGAGCTCCGTCAGCGCGCTTCACACCGCCCCATTTCAATCAGCTGTCGACGAGCATCCTACACTTGGATTGCATAGCAAACGAGTGGTGCTCACAGATCGCCGACACCACCACGCACACACTCGTGTATCGATGGGTTGAAGGGCGTGAGCTGCGAAGAATCTGCGCGCCTTTTTTTTTTTTTTTTTTCCCTGCTTGTCCCATTCCTCACTTCTGTTTGGTCGCTCTTCTCTTGCGCTGCCGTTCCCACCACTGGGACGGAACGAGCACACATGTACACACGATCAACGCAATCAAACGCAATCAAACACAAAAGCTGCTGTCTTCGAAACACAATCGGTTTGAGTCAAGGTTCAATGCAAAGTCGTTGCTCTCAAGTGAGCTGCCACGTCAGTCAGTCAAGTCAGTCAGTCGAGAACTCACAGTGCAACCAAAAGTACAAAAAAAGAGAAATGAACATTACATTCTGAGAAGCAGATAGTGTATATTACAAGAACACTCAAACAGAGCAAACCCATTTGGAATCAAAACGAAAAAAAAAAAAAAAAAAAAAAAAGCGACGATTTGCTCAGGAAGCAAACACAACGGCTCGACCACTGCTATTCCCGCCCATCACAGCATCGCGACTAGGATGCACTGCAAGTCGCGACATGACAGAGCCCAGATACTCGTCCTGCAACGAAACGACTCGCGACGCCAAACCCGTTTTCTCAGCGAGGTGGAAGACCTGCACAACCGTGCAACGAAATTGAACAACATGCACCTCCATCCCGAGACACATCCCGGCGAAATTTCTTACTTCGATCTGACGAGGGTGATCCATGCTCCCGCAGACAAACGTGTCGTTGTGCTTGGGATCCCACACAGCATGGAAGGTGGAGAGCCAACGGCCCGTCTGGTTATTGTGCGCCAGTTCGTGACAAGCTGGTTGTTGAGCAGGTGCGACGAGCTGGACGTTGTTGTAAATGCGCAAATGGTGGTCGAGACTTGTTGTCAAAAGGCGATCGCCATGGGGAGAGAAGAAGGCAGACGTCACAGACAGCCGCGATTCGTCGAGGGCCAGCAGTGCCGAAGCCTTTTTGCCGCTGAGCTTGCGCACGTCCCAGATGCGCACGGCGGCATCCACGCCGGACGTGACAAAATAATTGCTGTTGGCTGGATTGAACTGTATGGTGTTGGCCTTCTTGGTGTGGAGCGTGTGCTGCCAGACAGGTTTGTAAGTTCGGAACGGCGATGACAACTCGGCCGCAGCAGACTCCACCTGCCTCGAAGTCGATCGCCTGTTGGGAGAAGGTAGACCCGAGCCTGCAGACGCTCGAGTGTCAATCAAAAAGCCAGATCCGTCGGACGAACAGCCCAAAAAGGTGCCGTTCTGGCTGGGGTGCGGATCGAGATACTGGATGGTGTGATCGTCGTCTTCCCAGTCCAGGGCAAACACTTCGTCAAAGTGCTCCGAAGCCATATCAAGTCGCCGCACGGTGCCGTCGTAACTGGCAGTAATCATGGTCGAGCCACCCGACCCCAAAAAAGCAATCGACGAGACCGACTTTTGGTGCGGCTGAAAGACATAAATGCCTTCGTTCGGGGCATCCTCCTCCTCCTCATCATCACCACCAGACCCGCTGACAGCCTGACTGATGGTTGGAGAGGGCAGTGTAGACTCTTGAGCTTGGCTTTGGAGGAGCTCTCCAGGGTTGCGCAAACGCAACGGAGCGCGCTCGGCTTGCGATTCAGCTTCAGCCACCTCGGAGTCAGCAGACGAGGACGACACTGATGATGTTGGCTTGGTCGAGCCACTCCATGGGTAATCGACGTCCCAGAAGGCCACGCGGCCCCAATAGTCGCCAGCAGCAGCAATTAATCGAGAGTGCATTGGGTGGAAGCGCACATGCATGATGCGGTCGGGCACGACTTTGGCCAAGCGATGAAAGCCCATGCGCAGCGACGAGTATGTCTGCACAATGCTGCTGGCTGCTTTGCCGGAGCGCACTGGAGGCGGTGTGCTTTGATAGACGGCCAGCTCGTCGAGGATTGCGCGACCGATGGACGCAGGGACATTCAGCGACCGCGCGGGCAACATGCTGCTCGCCCAGCGGTGACGGAAGTGCTCCTCAGATAGCGCTGGCTCGACTGGGACTCGCTCGGCAGCTTGGGCGCTGGTCGGATCGGCTGCGATTGCCAAGCGCGCAGACCTGCGTGTCGGGGTATTCGTATTCGGCTCTTGCTGCGCTTTTCGACGCGCCAAGCTCGCAGATGCACTGCCCTTGATGATACTTGGGGATGGACTGCTCTTGCCAGCACTTGCCGTCAGACCGAGATCGCTTCGAGCCTGTCACCCCCCCGCCCACAAGCAAAGTGCGAGCAAGCGGCGTGCATGAGTTGGTTTTCCCGCGCAAACCTTTCGACAAACCTTTCGCACGACACCCTCGAAGCGTCGCTGCTTCATCGTACCGTTGTCAGCTGCAGCGCAGCAAGCATGGCATGGTTTTTGCGCACATTGTCCAGACGCTGGCGCTCGTAGTCGGACAGCACGCTGCCACGAGACGCGCCCGCGAGTGCGGCGTTGTCTTGATTTTCCCGCCACGGACTCTGCTGCTGCTGCTCAGTCATGTCGTCGCCGTTGTCCTGCTCGCTCGCTGCATCGTCCGGATCGATCGACGCACTCGATTCACGCACTCGCTTCAGATCTGGCGAGGCGGTCTCTGGGGGCTCGGACAGGGTTCGCTTGACCATGCTGCAAATCGCGCAATTCAAGCAACCCTGAAACAAAAGAACGACTGACTGATTTCGACATCGAAGAAGCTTTTGATCACAAAAAACGAAACACAAAGTATTGCAGTGCCAAAAGAGAGGTGCAATCATTTTTGATTGGGCAAAATCACAGCATCGTCTAGAAAAGAAAAGCGAATGGAATCAATCCAACCAACCTTGTTTTTTTTTTTTTGGTTAGTGCTTGCGTGCCTTTTTGTTCTTATGCGCGGGTGCCGGCTCTTTGGTCTCTTGGTCTGGCGGAGTGGTTTCGAGTCGCTCCTTCAGATGCGAGATGTAGTTGTGCAAGATGGTGCGTTCGCCAATGCGAACACGAAGGGCCATTTTCTGGCGATGGGTCAGATCCGATTCTTTGAGACGCTCCTCGTCCTCCTGTGCGCGAGAAATGTTCAGAGACAATTCAAAAGAGGCAAAATCAGGACACAGCCTAATGCTCAAGAGATAGACAAACAAACAAACAAACAACAGCGGCAACAACTGTTAAAAAAAAAACAACAACCCTGACTTACCTCGCGCGTGGTGGTGTACTCTTCTGCGCGCTTTTGCCCAAACGCCAAGAGAGTCTCAGAGACCTTCCGGCGACACTTGTTGACAAGCGTGGCGAGGAAGCTGCGGATTTCATCTTCGTCGTCCAGGGCACGGAGTGCGCGAACTTGTTTGGGACTTTGGAACAGCAGGGCGATGGAAGCTTCAAGCTCTTGAGGCGGCAGCGCATCTGCTGGAATGTGGAATTCACTGAAATTAAAGAAATCGGAATAAATGAGGCGGGATGCGAAGCCGAAAACCCAACAAATAACCAAACTAGCAACCAATCGAGAAGCAGCCCTTACGGCAACCAGCAACCAATCTCTTCGAGGGCCTCCATGGCTTCTTCCATAAAGCTGCAGGACTCGAAGCGCTCCTCCAGCATCTCGACGGGAATATCGACCGAGTTGTGCTCGTTGACGTCGTCAATGAAGCCATACTTGCGGAGCAACTCAGAGTTAGACAAGTCGCCGTACGTATTGTACTAGCCGTTGGGCATGATGGATACACGCATGAGGAAAACCAAATCCAGGGAGAATGTGAGGAAAACAAGCCTGAGATAGTTCAGCGTCATCTCAATCGGCCATGTCTACGTACCAGTTCGTGACCAGCAGCACATGGCTCAATGCATGACATGGCAAGTGTGGTCTTTCCATAAAACAAGCGAGCCTGGTCAAGTGGGATTGCATCCGTCAGTCAAGTAGATTGCGGTCAACTACCAAAACCCTCAACAAAACGCCTACATTGTTGCAGCCAGTCTTGTGATCCAGCATGTCAGCCAATGGCACCATGGCAATCTTCTCCATGCGTTTCTGGCGTTTCTGGCTGCAGCATTCATTGTTGGCGTCTCCGTCGCAGCAGTCCTCCTCTTCATCATCATCTTCGTCATCATCATCTTCGTCGTCGTCTTCGGAGAAGCTGTACGCCATGATAACAGAAGCCACGCGATGGTACAATGCCATGTTATGCACCTTCAGGTCAAAGTGCGTTGGGTGCAGCTACAAATCGACAAGTCGATTGTCAGTGTTGAGCCATTTTTCAGCACATCAAACGCAAGCACAGTGGCGAAACAAACCTTCATGAAAGGGACAATTTGCTCCGTGAAAATCGTCTCGGCGTCTTCTTTGCCAAGGTGCGCTACACAACCCCCCCAATACAAAATAAGTGAGCAAAAGCCGAGAACTAAAAAAACTAAGCTGCTTCTGTCAGCGTACAAAGAGTGGAGGTGCCTTCCAGGAGCTCGAGATCGTCGTCATTCCAAAACATCGGTGTGTCCAGCGTCTCGGGCAGCAGGTCTGCATATGGCAAGAAGCGAGCGATTTGAAACCAAATGTTTCAAAATCGACGGTGAGCGACAATCGCTTTCGAGTCCCCCCCAAATGTTCTTTCAAAGTCCGTACCGAGGTATGGCCGCCAGAAGGAGTCCTTGTTGGTGATCTCGTACATCATTGCAACGACGAGCGGCATCCATCCAACAAGCGCACAGGCCTCCTTTTTGTTTTCCAGCAGGAGCTCTGCGATGGACGACGTCGACGCGCTCAGCAGCAGTTTGCGCGGGATGGAGAAGAGCTCCTCCTCCTTCTACACGATCGCGCACACACACAAGCCCACAAGCCCACAAGTCCACAAGCCCACAATGTCAAAACCAAGTGAGTGAAAGCCGAGGCGGAAAGCTGCTTCTGCTGCTGCCGGTCCAAGGTCCTCGTGGCTGTCTGTTGGCTTACATCGAAGCCGGCCTCGGCAGACGCGATGACGCGACGGTGCAGCACCTGAGTGCGCGAGTCTGCGTTGAATGCTGCAGTTGCCTGCAGGGTCAGTTTGGGAGACACGGTCGCGCCGTTCGCTCGCAGCCACGCGATGAAGCGGTCGCCAACCGGATCGTCCACACGCTGCTGCTCAGCCATTTTGTACGACTGTAGTTGCAAAGAAGAGTGAAATAAAACAAGAAATGTCATCAGATCAGTATCGAATTCAAACTGAGCCAAACATTTGCATACGTGTCAAAGTCTGAGAATTCACGCCTCCTTCCATTTCAAGAGATTGTCCAGTCTCTCTGTTTTCCCACTCTTTCATTCTCTTCTCTCTCTTCTCTCTCCTCTCTCTTTGCAATGGGTCGCGAGGACTACGAGTCAGGCCCGCTGATTGGATCGTCTGCCGGCTCCTCGGCTGCATCGCAGTCGTGGGCTGGGCGCATGCTGGCCAAGCGGCGCGTGCGGCTGCTGCTGGTCGCACTCGTGATTGCGGCGATTGTCGCCATTGCTGTCGGAGTTGCCGTCAAGAACAGCGACGACAGCAACCACGGCGGTGCTCCACGCACAGGCACTGCGTTCGGATTCCAGGACATGTTCAATGGGAACTTTAGCGTGGCGCGAGTGACGCCGACCTGGTCGACCGACGCCGACAACGCGGCCAAGTTCACCTACCTCGCCCCGCGCACGGGCGACATTGCGCAGTACGATGCGCTGACTGGCGCCACGACCACCCTGCTCGCGGCAGACGCGTTCGCTGCGCAGGGATTTGCCTTTGGCGACTACCTGCTCTCTGGGAATGGATCCGCCGCGCTCCTGATCTCCAACACAACCAAGGTCTACCGTCACACGTTCAACGCAAGCTACACGCTGGTCGACATGACCACGCAGACGCTCGTCCGTCCGTTTGTGCTCGAGGACCCGGACATCCAGCTGGCCGTCTGGGCGCCGACGGGTGCTGGGATTGCCTACGTCAAGAGCAACAATCTGTACGTGGTCGATGCGGCTGCAGGCGCGACGCCAACCCAAATCACCACGTCAGGCACGACAGATGGCACGTTTGTGCACGGTATTCCGGACTGGGTCTACGAGGAAGAGGTGCTCGCAAGCAACTCGGCGCTGTGGTGGTCGCCAGGAGGCTCGTCCATTGCCTTCATGTCGTTCAACGACACCCAAGTCCCGTTCTACACCTTCCCCCGCTACCCTCTGACGCCGAGCAACCCATACACCGAGCTCGAGTCCTTCCGCTACCCGAAGGCTGGATTCAACAACCCCACGGTGGCCCTTTCCGTTTTTGTCCGCGCGACCCAAGAGCTGCTCGTCCTCGACCTTGCGTCTGGACTCATCCCGGACCCGGCCACGACCGACTTCCTCCTGACCCAGATTACCTGGATTAGCGACACCCTCCTCACAGTCCGCCAAATGCCGCGCATCCAGCAAGAGTCGGTTCTGCTTGTTTGCGATATTTCAGCCGCGAACGCCAGCGTCGTTCCTTGCGCAACCGCCACCCACCAGCAAAGCACCACTGGCTGGCTCGAGACGTATGCCGGGTCGCTCCACTTCCTTCCCTTCTCGGGCCAAGGCGCCGTCACCGCCCTCGACATTGTTGAAATCAACGGCTTCCCCACATTGGCCGAGTACAAGCTCACCTTCCCCTTGTCTGACACCCCCGCTGTGCCCACTGCAGTGACGGATGCCAACTGGGAGATTGTGTCCATCGACGCGATCGATACCACCTCGAGCAGCACCAGCTATCGTGTCTTTTTCACGGCTGTCGGTCGGCCTGAAGCTGCCGGCGCTGCCAACCCCAGCCAACATCACATTTACGTGTACGAGTCCTCATCTGGTGAGATTTCGTGCATCAGCTGCACCGTTGACAAGACGTGCACCTGGAATGCCGCGTCCTACGACATCCTGGCCAGCACGATTCTGCTGTCCTGCAACGGTCCGAACGCTCCCTACCAGACAGTGCGCTCGACCGCCAATCTGGAGACTCGCGTGTTTGTCGTCGAGGAAAACAAGCCGCTGAAGGCCGCGCTGGCTGCACTCGGCGACTATGCGCCACAGCGTCGTTTCTTTACCATCCCCGTCGGCGCTCCAGGTTGGTTTTCGTTGTTTTGTGGAGGTTGACGCTTTTGTCTGGTTTTGCACTCACTGCGACTCTTCCTGTTGCCAGACATGTTTGCCAATGTGCTGTATCCGCCCGGTTTCGAGTCGGACGGCTCGGTCAAGTATCCCGTGCTCTTTGACGTGTACGGCGGTCCATTCAGCCAAAAAGTCGTGAGCTCGTTCACCATGGGCTACCAGGCCTTCCTTGCGAGCTCTCTTGGATATATTGTCGTCAGTGTGGATGGCCGAGGCACTGGCGGCCGCGGCGTTGCGTAAGTTTCTGATGATGGAAATTATGTTAGGTTTCTGTTGTTCTAAGGTTTTATTCGAACGTTTTTTTGTTGATGTGAAATACTCCCACAAAGGTATCGCAACGCTGTCTATCGTCAACTGGGTCATGTTGAAACCATTGATCAAATCGCCGCAGCTCAGTAAGTGCACTCCTTTTGGTTACATTTTTTGTTTTGCATCAAAAGCACATTGCTACCGTTCACAGCAACTAATGTATTCTCCTGACTATTTTGCGCTCTGCAGATACTTCCAAACGCTACCTTACGTCGACAAGGACCGCATCGCAGTGTGGGGCTGGTCGTACGGCGGATTCATGACCTCCAGAATTGCGACTGCCGGCTCGGGCACCTTCAAAGTGGCCATGGCCGTCGCTCCTGTTATTGAGTGGGAAGAGTATGACTCGATCTACACCGAGCGGTACATGGACACGCCCCAGGGCAACCCTGCCGGCTACCAAGGAAGCTCTGTGCTCAACTCTGGCCTGGCGAACATTTCCAAACTCAAATACCTCGTTGTGCACGGTACCGGCGACGACAACGTCCACTTCCAAAACACGGCCGGCCTGGTGTCTGCGCTGACCGCAGGCTACATTGACTTCCAGGTTCAGTTCTACACCAACCGCGACCACAGCTTGAACGGTGGAGGCACTTCGCAGCACTTGTATCGTCTGTTGACCAACTTTTTGCAGCGGGGTCTTGATCGCAAGGAGCTTGTCGTGTAAATGGCAGATTTCTCAGTCAGACTGGCGAGAATAAAAGAAACAAAAACAAAAAAAAAAGATTCGCAAAGAACAAACAGACAAAAACGAGGACGGACGACAATGTAAAATAATGAGTATTGCAAGTTTTCGGTCAATACGAGAAAAGGCTATTCAAGGGGAACTGCGCCAAAGAAATAGAAGGAGGAAGAAAAAGGAAAGGAAAGGAACGAAAGGAGATTTGCGAAATTCCAATTTGGGGTTGCGTGTGTCAGTAATCTGTTCAAAGTTCTCCTGGGCATCGCCTGGCCGTCAAGTTGGCAACCAAAATGAACCAGCCGTGGCAACCGGTACGCATCGTGGTCGCGCAGTGTGGGTGTGGAAACATGCGATGCGGTCAAGATTCTCGGCGGTGTGCGGCTTCATCAAAAGCCAATGCAAGCGTCAAAAAAAGCAGATGGACTGGCAATGAAAACAAAGCCAAAAACAAGCAACACGTAGGTGTGCTCAATTGACCAGTTTCTCGGAGGAGAAAGCAGACGGGTAATGCAGCGCGTTCCTCCATGACTAGGAAACGCTGGGCAAGCAAATCACCCACTCGTGTCGAAAGAAAAGAAAAGAAGATAAAAGCGCGCAGTCTCAGCGGACTGAGCTATGATCGAACATGCCGCAGCAGTCCCACCCACCACTGAAAAAGGTGAGCTCTGGGAGTCTGGGAACGCTGAAAACCACCAATCGCTCCATTTCTCTTGTGCTCAGTTGGCAATGCTCGTTTGCAACCGAATCTCTTGAATCTCTTCATCGCGAGCCCACACAGAAACGGACATCATTTCTCCCCCTTGAAGTCAAACAAAAGACTTGGATTCGGTGGTAGGCCCTTCTGCCCGACCCCGCGCAATTGCTTTCGCATTGATCTCGACCAGATAAGCAAGTTGCAATCGAAATGGATCTCTTCGAATCAACGCGGCTCTGGCGGTTGTGATGCGCGGATCTTTCGCATCGTGTGAGACTCTTTTCTGCCAACAAAACAAGCGCAAGAACGCTTGCAGCAGGAGCAAATCAAGGGGGCCACCGAATGTTTGCGCGGGTCGGATTCTGGCAGACGTTCTTTTGCAGATGCACGTCCCTCCTGGTGGAAGGTCGATGCACGAGCGAGGTTGGAAAACCTGATGGCCAGCCACCCAAAACGAGAAAAAAAATTGTTCGACAAAAGCGGGAAAAGCGCCGTCTCTGCAGCAAGTGCTCCATCGAGATCACAAGCAACACGAACAAACGAGCACCTTCAAAGCCAAACATGGAAAAAAGCACGGGGAGATGGAAGGCGGGTGGAGAACTGTTTCAGGATCTCAGACGCCATGGATGAGCCGCTTTTCAAGGTGCAAGTGCCTTTTCGTTCGCGCACCTCGGCGAACTCGAGATCGAGGCAGAAATCGAAAGCGGATCTGCGTCCCCAAACTATCACAAAACCCGAGCATCTACTGCCAAACAGAGTCTCACTGGTGCTCTCAAGCAGTATAGCAGTGTGTGTGAAGCTTGGGGGAAAGCGTCGAATTCGCTCCTGCAATCTCGACTCGCAGCGAAAGGCAAATCGCGATGATCATGGCATTCTTGCAACACTGTCATTGTCATTGTTATTGGCTCTCATTCTCTTCAAGCAGTGGTCGAGACAACGTTGGCAAGCCAAATGCAAACAGCAGCTCAGTGCCTCAGTGCCTCCCCCGCGTGCTCGTCTTCTTTCCCCCCCCCCTCCACCGTGTGTGCCTTGGTGACTAACTTGGCCAAAACAGCGTGGTTCGCCATCTCAGTCTGCGCCTATGCACCTCGCTCCCTCCTCCACTTGCCCTCCAACCATGCTTTTGTTCTTTGTTCGCTTTCAACGCGACTACAAGAATCGCACCCGCGCTCCAAAGCAAAATGCGCTGCTGCTTTCCAACACAACAGTGCGTCAAGACTGTCGATCTGCAAGTACCGCGGGTGTTTGATTGTTCGCGTTGTGATGGTGAGCAACGCAGGGAAAGAGATGGAGAGAGCGAGGAGCGAACCTCTCTCTCTGCTCCTGTCCTCTTCCACCGCGCAGCCACACCAACGCGTTCCCGGCCTCAAATCTTTTTCTAGTAAACATCATTCACAGTGGCAAGCAGAAATTGGAAACAAAATCGCAAAGACAGAGAGATCGAGAAAAAGAGAAAGACAGAATCAGCGCTTGTTCAGTCACAGTTACTTGCCCTTTTGTTAGAGAACGACGACTGATCCAAAGTCAACCTAACACCATTCGGATGAGTAATGCATGAATGAATGAAATTTGGATAGTTGGACAATGGAGACTCCAATCTCAAAGGCTCAGACTATCGACTAGTTTGTTCTTTGTCAACTCACTCCTCTTGCATTTCGCATCATCCATACGACCACGACCACAACGTAGCAATGACGGATGCGACAGTGAGCCCTGTCGTGCTCTCCGAGTTCTACTCTGCGCTCGCCATGTCGGACTGGGCTCGAGCAATGCGCGCAGTGACGCTCAACGCAGTAAGAACTGATCTCCGACTGAACGGGTCGACCCGTCTCATGTCTCTTTGCTTTGTGAAATCTCAATCCCGCCCCGCCGCCCACCGCTCGTGCTCTGCTCCATTGGCTTTGCTGCTGAAAACTGCAGAAAAAGGAGCGCGAGCTCAAGAAGACGTCCGTCGCCTTCTTCAACCACCATCTGTTGACGGTGCTGAACCAGCTCGTCGCGGCGTGCCAGATGCACGGCTCGCTCATCTTCTTGGAATACAAGTGGTTTCGCAAAAACACACTCGCGCTCACGTACACGACGCTCTTGGACGAGCTCGCGCGGACGGAAGGCATGCTCAAGGACGGCGCTTTGCTCCAATCCGACGAGGAGACGCGGCTGATCCAGGCCGTCTGCGTGCACACTGCAACGTTCTTGCGAGCGCGATTGGAGCTCATGCAAGCGTACATTGGACTCGCGTCACTCACAGTGCCCAGCATCCCCCAGTACCTCGAGATTGTCGCCGCGCTGCGAACGACGCTGGAGCGCTACCGCGCAGGCCTGGGACACCCCCTCTTCTTCCCACTCAAGCTTGGCCATGAAGTTGAAGTAACCATCCTGCTTTCGCTACTGTTGGCCCAGGTGGCCATGTGCGAGTATCGGTTTGTGGACGCGGTGACCAACTTGTTTCGCGCAAAAGCCGAGTTTGAGCGCTGGCGTCGCATCATGATGGCGATTGCCGTCGATCGACCATACCCTGTGCCATTACAACCGGGCGAGTCGCAGTCCCAGTCGTCTGCTCCTGGCGCGGCTCCTGCAGGAGCCCAGACTCCGCTTCCAGAGTCCTCGACCGCTTCAAATCCCTTGCTGTCGTCGTCATCGTCAGTCCCCACCTCTCACGCGGACCCATTATCGCTGCCAACTCACCACAACATTCCTCCGCTCGTCATGGACTCGTCCACCTCACTCAGCTCGTTCCAGCCTCCAAACACGTACAAGTGGCTCAACGCCTTCCACTCCAACCTTCTCTCCAAGTTTGCCCTCTACTTTCACCATATGCTGCGCAAGCACACTGCACTCGATATGAAAAATCTCGTGGCCCGTTGCGATGTCGACTTGGTTGGCACCATTCGCTCATTCCACCGCAAGACCAACGCGCTCGTATCCATTGTGCTGTGCGCAGAGGACCTGCCATTCTCCATGGACGGATACCTGCACCCCTCACAAAGGCCCGACCCACCCACAGGCATGCAGTGCTATCCAGCCATTTTCAGTTATCCGGGAGAACGGCCACTGGAGCACTGGCCGAGCGTTGTCTCGCTCATTACCTCCAATAGCTCTGCACTATCGTCGACGCGTCGCGTGTACTTTTTCGACCCCAGTCCGAAAGTGCAATCCACGTATTTCATCACCTCTGTTGACTCCAATGTCTACTGCGTGGTCATCTTTACCCAGCAAAAGCGGCAAGAGAATGACCAGGCGGTCATTGACTTTTTCGCTAGTAAGTGGACCCGTCTCTTTTTGGGTTGTCTTGCCTGTGATGGCTGTGGTTGCTTGATTGGTTTGAATGGGGTGTGAAGGCTTGATTTGCAAAAACTCATCATGATGTCATTTTATTGTTGTTGCTGCCCTCTCTCCGACTCTATGACACAACACAGCCCTTTCTTTGACCTTGCGCAACACAAAGCCCATCCAGATGCTGCTGAAGCAAGGCTGAGCATCCTTCCGTTGTGACATTGAATCGACCTCCAGCCACTTTCGTAATTTTTGTTGCGCGCTCTCGCTTCCATCGAGCACCAACTCGTTAATACACCCAATGAACCTTGTTTTTTCCTCCCCCCCGCCACCTTGCTTTCCATCACGTCTCACTGTTCGACCCAACGCAACAACTAGTTTCAATAGTTCTCAGCATTCGGTTTCCGCAATGATAGTTTTTTTTTTTCATTTCACTCATTTTTTTTCAATTTTTAATTTTTTTTTTTTTTTTTGGCCAAAATGTCCTTCCGCTGCGGAACAGGCTCCTGCCCCGACGAGCGCTTTGCCAACCCGAAGGAGCTGCTCGACCACTACACCGCACAGCAGCACATGCACGTTGCCTGCCGCTGTGGCGAGCGCTTTGTGGGCTCGTCAGCGACTGCCTCTGCCGCGCTCAAGGCTCACCACGAGGCCAACGAAGAACACAAGTAAAGAGCAGAGAAGCACAACTGACTTCCATGCATCCAGAGTCCCCAGCTTGTATTGGGGGAACGGATGACAGACAACAAAGTGCAAGCGCGTTTAGACCTGCACCACTGTTGATCGATGACTTGGACAGCCAGGCGCGGCTTGGTTGGGCAGCCCAAAAGGCGATGATATCACACAGAAGGCACCTCGTTACGTGGAGAGCTTTTGTTTCATCACACTCGGAGAGCCAACACACCAAACACTGTCATCACACTCTGGTTGGTTGCATCATTGTGCTTACGATCCGCTGATGAACACTTTGGTGGTTTTGTAGGCCTCAGAAGGGCGAGAAGGCGCAGAGTTGCACGATTTGCCTCCATGTCTACTACCTTCGATCCGACCTCGACAAGCATCTCAAGGAGAGCGGGCATGATGTCCTGATGACCGAGATGTTTGCCGCAAACAACAAGGCCCCGAAGGAGCAAAAGCCCAAGGGCAAGGGCAAGAATGCCGACAAGGCTGCTGCGGACGGCGCTTCGTCCAGCACGGCGGCGGCTGCCCCTGTTGCTGCTGCTGCTGCTGCTGCTGCTGTTCCGGTCGCTGTTGCGGCTGTTGCTTCGGCTGCAGCAAGCTCAAGCGATGCCCCTGCTGCCGCTGGCGCCGCCACCACGGAGAATGCCGGCGAGCAGGTGGTTACTCCTTGGGAAGTCAATGCCGCTGGTGGTGTTGACTACCAAAAGCTGATCAGTATGTGTTTCTCTTGGTTTTTCGTGGATCCCTTGCGGGTTGTGAATGTTATTGACTAGCGCGACCACTTCCCCCCCTTTCCCCCCTTTTTTTCAATGACAGCCGAGTTCGGTAGCGATGCGATTGACGCCAACCTGTTGGCCAAGATTGAGCGCGTGACAAAGCGCCCGCTGCACTCGTTCCTCAAGCGTGGCATCTTCTTCTCACATCGGTACGCCGTGCTACGTTGTGCTGGTAGTGATGGCGAGTTGACCACAGCTTAACCTGAGTTTGTGACGTTGCTTTTTTTCACCCCCCCCCTACCAGTGACCTCCATGGCGTCCTTGATCGCTACGAGAAAGGAGAGCGATTCTACTTGTACACTGGCCGTGGACCTTCCTCGGACTCGATGCATGTCGGCCATCTCATTCCGTTCCTGATGACCAAGTATGTACCCCGTTCCAGCCACTTTGCTTTGACCTCACACATGCATGCACTGACCTTGTGGCAACGTCCATCCCTTTGCCATTCTTGACACTAGAGCGATGCAAGACATGTTTGGCGTTCCGCTCGTCATTCAAATGACCGACGACGAAAAGTTCCTGTGGAAGAACATGACGCTCGAGGACGGATACCGCTTCACTCGTGAAAACGCCAAGGATATTATTGCATGCGGCTTTGATATCAAGAAGACGTTCATCTTTTCCAACCTCAAGTTTATGGGGTACGAATATATATGCGGTCAAACACGATTGGATGATTATGCATTGGAATACTCACCATTTTCCTGTTGGATCTTAGCGGCGCCTTCTATGAGAACATTCTTCGCATTCAAAAGCTCGTTTCCGAGCACACTGTCAAGAAGATGTTTGGCTTTTCAGAGTCCGACAACATTGGTGCGTTTCCTTCGATTTTTTTTTTTTTCGTGTTCTTCATTCGTTTTTTTTTTTCGTTGTTCGTTTTTTCTTTTTTTTTTTTTTGCTTTTTTTGGCGTCCTCGCTGACTCCACCTGACCCCATTTTTGGATGTTGTTCTCGCGTTTCTGTTGATTAGGCAAGTTCGGCTTCCCGGCAAACCAGGCCTCGCCCGCCTTCTCGAACACCTTCCCGTTCATTTTTGGAGCCAAATCGACTGTGGATTGCTTGATCCCCTGCGCCATTGACCAAGTATGATGCTTTCAAACCTCACGAGCCCCCCCCCCCATCCTCCCTGGGGCTTCTCCCTCAACTACTCCCAGATGAATAGATTGCTTTTTTTTGGGTGACTAACCCCAGCTTGGTTTGTTTTTTTTTGTCCCCAGGATCCTTATTTCCGCATGACTCGTGATGTTGCTCCGCGCCTTGGCTACAAGAAGCCAGCGCTTGTGCACTCCAAATTCTTCCCTGCACTTCAGGGAAGCCAGTCCAAGATGAGTGCAAGCGATTTGACCACGAGCATCTTCCTGACCGACACTCCCGAGCAGATCAAGTCAAAGGTACAGCGTCCTCCAGCTAATTCACAGCTCCATTTGCCAAATACGTCCTGACTCACCACCCCTCCAACGCCTGTGCCCATGTAGATCAACAAGTACGCATTTTCTGGCGGCCAGGTCACTCGCGAGGAACAGGAGCGTCTTGGTGCCAACTGCGACATTGACGTCTCCTACCAGTACCTCAGCTTCTTCCTGGATGACGACGAAGAGCTCGAGCGTATTCGTGTGGTAAGTCTTTCGTCTGGTGTTTTGGAATCGCGTGTGTTTGAAGGGAGCAAAAAAAGAAGAAGAAGAAGAAAAAAGAGAAAACAGAAACACTAAGTCGATTGGCTTGACATTCGCAGGCTTACTCGTCCGGCAAGATGCAAACGGGTGAAATCAAGAAGCGCGTCATTGAGGTCCTTCAAAAGCTTGTTGCGAAGCACCAGGAAGCCCGCAAGCTTGTGACTGAGGAGATGGTTGACGAGTTCATGCGCGAGCGCCCTCTTGAGCTTTGAGCGGTTGTCGCTGTGCTTGGCTCGTGCTGGTCCCTTCAAAGAGATTATTAGAATCCGTCCTATCGACTCTTTTTGTTTCCATTGATTTCATTGCCATTTCCACTGGCCATTGAGTGTACAAAGGAGATTTTTGTAAGGGTTTGAATGGCAAGGCAAAATTCGATTTTTACAACAAGACAACGGTTAAACCCGGCCAACGACAAAAGCCAAAAAGACCGCCACATCTGTCGATTTTAGAACTTGGGACCACGACTACGGCCAGAATAGGCAGAGTCTGGTCGCACATCTTTGCCTTGTCGTTTTCGTCGCTCCTTCTTGTCGGCAATCCAATCGCGGCTCTTTGTTGCAGCCTTCTTTCCCTTTCCCTTTCCGAAATGTGCATCACGACTATTCAGCAGTTTCCACCACCCCCCCCAGCGGAATTGAGCGATTGCAGTCCAACACAACATACGCCATGCCAAAGCGATCAAGTTGAACACTGACTCTTTGCGACTGTAAGGCATGGAAGGTCCTGCTTGACCATCTTCTCCTTCGGTGCCATCGAGACCCTTGGGAACCTCGGCGGCAACACCAGCAAACAGACACAAGAACATTCTGCAGAGAAGGTAGGTGTGGGGGGGGCGGAGGAAAGAAAGGGGACGAACAAGTTTGGCAAAATATTTAGCCGAACGATCACGACAGATCAAGTCAAAAAGTCGCGCAACCCTACTTTTTAGCACGAGTAGAGTTGGGGAAATCAACCACCAAACCACCCGTGAAACCGGCCTTCATGGCAGCCGCGGTGATCATGCCCATTTGCTGCGGGGTTTGTGGGTAAAGCTGGAACACGGCGCGCGCACCGCGAGCAAGCGCGGCATACAGCGTTCCAAAGAAGCGCGCCAGGCGCTTGTGCGGCACGTGGCCTCGTTGATCTGCATTGCACAGCCATTGCAGCGCCGAAATGGAAATGGCGCCGTCGAACGAGCCTGGGCGGAAGCCAACACCCTGGCCCATGTCTTGCAAGAACAGATCGCCATCGACCTCGCGTTCCAACGCCACGTCTGATTAGAATAGTGCGATAAGGCCAAGTGGATGATGAGTCTTTGAGTCAGTACCTTTCATGCTCTATTTACGAAGGAGTGAGTCAGCGAGTGAGCCTGCTTACTGAGCATGGAGGGACTGAGATCGAGACCGACCCAGACATGGCCGTTCTCTGAGAGCTCTTCGCCGGAGAGTCCAGATCCGCAGCCAATGTCCAGCAAGAAGCACGTCGAGTCCTCTGGCAACGCGAGCAGCTCGATCGCGCGCTCGGTCATTCGCTTCTGGACGTCGATGATGTGTGTGCTAAAACAGGGCAAAAAAAAAAAACGGGGGGGGGGGCAAGCAGCAGAGCAGCGCAGTCAGTCCCAACAAGCATTGTTTCAATGTTTTCATTCAGTTTTAAGTCAGGTGCAAGGGGAGGAAAGAGGGAGGACGGGGGGGGGGGTTCATCGTGTGGATGTGAGAGTGTGTAACACATGGAGCAGCGCTCGTCTCGCTTTCCACTTCTCCGCCCCCCCCCCAGCTCCTCCGAAACAGCAAAAACTCACACTCGGCTACTTGCATAGCAGCCAGTTCCACAACAGACAGAGCAACGGGAGGAAAGTGAAAAGGGAAGCGGGAAAGCAAAGCTTTTCGCTTACTTTGTTGTGTACTTGTGGGCTTCTTCCTCATTGTAGTAGACGTCCGCCGGCGCGACTTGCTCAGGACGCGACATGCCGAAAGAAAGAAAGAGAGAGAGAGAGAGAGAAAAAAAATGAGAACTGACGGATTTGAATACTGCATTATTGTGCCAAGCAAACAGACCGCTGAGCGATGGCTTTGGTCCTGGAAATCTCAGATTTGTTACGTGGAAACCCCCCTCCCAACTTTGTCGTTTCGAAATTTCTGACCGAGTTCTCCCGTTGCTCATTGCTCATTGTTTTTGTCAAAATGGAGTTTGCGCTGCTCGGGTCGGACGACGAGGACGAGGCTTCCGGCTCACTTCGCCGCACTGAATCAAGCGAACGCCCGTTCTCATCGTCAGCGACGACTCGCCGCCATGCCCGCGCGGGCTCAGCAGGCACCCACGCAACCGCCATAGCACCAACATCATCCGTCCTGTCCGCATCATCATCCGGAGCAGGAGCAGGAGCAGGAGCAGGAGCAGCAGGAGCAGCAGCAGCGGCGGGTTTGAATCGGCGGTCGTTTCCAGTCAGCCAGCCGTTGGCGCAGTCGTCCTCGGTCGCCTCGGGTACGTCTGCCAGCAGCAGCAGCGGTCTTATCATGTCTGCTGGCCCAGGCACAGGCACGGGCACAGGCCCAGGCTCAGGCTCAGGCACGGCAAGCAGCAGCGGCGCAAATTCGTCCCTGCTTGCGCCAGTCAGTCACTCTGCAACCACATCCCCGCGCTCTTCGTTCGATCTGCCATCGTCAGGGTTCCAGCTGCCAACAAGTCTAGCCAAGAAACTCAAAGTGCGTTTGCGCGACGCACGCACCTCTCTCCCGAAAGCGTCAATCTTGACTCGCTCGATGGTAATTCTGACCCTGCTTTTGCCGTTCTTGATTGAGTAGAAGCACAAGGACAAGGACAAGGACAAGGAGAAGGAGAAGGAGAAGGACAAGGACAAGGACAAGGAAAAAGACAAGGACAAGGACAAGGAAAAGGACAAGGACAAGGACAAGGAGACCAAGGACGAGCCATCGTCTGCGAAGGAGGCTCATCCTGACGACGGGCATCGCAACAAGGTATCGCATTCCATGCAATAGCACAGATATTTGGTTCGCCATTCGGTGCAAGTGCGGGATGATGCCATCAAGGGAATGTTTGCCAACCGTGAATGAACTTGTTGTTTTTGTTGTGCTCTCCCCACCTCAGGCTAGCAAAGCAATCGAGCGGTTAGCTGCGGCATCCGTGCTGAAAACAAAGTCTGCAACTCTGCAGCACGCTGCAATCCGAAAGAAGGATCCGAACAAACCCACCAAGATTTTTGAGGTGCCACTCCCTGCGGTCGTCGAGCGCTCCACAGACCCTGACGACGAGTATCACCTTCCAGCCCTCTGCCGAAAGTGCATCATGTACCTGGAATTGACAGGTGCGTAGCAGATTCGAGGGGGCGGGGGCCGGGGATTGGCACATTTCAGTTGCTCATTGCCTGTTGCTCATTGCCGTTTGCTTTTCCGGCATTCCATTCTCGCAGCCACTCAGCAACAGGGTATCTTCCGCCTGTCTGGCTCTGCTTCCAGGATAAAAGATCTCAAGAATTCATTCGACAAAGGTGTGTTTCGGATTGGTTGCGCGCTCAGCTCCTAACCAGTCGCTGGACTAACTGAACTCTCTCGGACACGATGCAGGCGAAGACCCGAACTTGACAGGCGAAAGTGACCCTAATGTCGTCGCTGGTTTGCTCAAGCTATTTCTACGAGAGCTTCCGGATCCTCTTGTTGATAAGAACTTGCAGCCGTTGGTCACGGAGGCCTTGAGTGAGTTGGCGGCTCTGTCGCTGTGCTCTTTGTCTCTCTTTCCAAAGCTCCACACTTCAACGCACTGATCTGTCTCTAATCTCACTCCCTTTTGCCGCAGCCAACCCTGTCATTGCAGAGAAAATCGACGAAGTGAGAGCGCTCGTCGGCACCTTGCCGTTCACAAGCTACGTTTTGCTCGCCTGGCTGTGCATTCATTTGATGCACATTGCCGAGCAAGCAGAACTGACCAAGATGAACCTGCCCAACCTGGCGATCGTGTTCAGCCCGACGTTGCGCATCTCGCAGGAGACCTGCCTGTTTTTGATCGAACATGCCGCGTCGCTGTTTAAGGATTTCCGACGACCGTTCACCAAGTGTTTGGCAGAAGCTCGTCTCGAGAGCATCGATAAGGTACAGACCATACACAGCGAAGGCTGTTGGAGTCCTGGTTTTATTATTTTCGGAGAAATGGCAAAAAACCCCTCTGACAGACTCTGTTTCAACTTGACCACGCCTTGCAGATTGACTCGATCGCCGAGCTGCGCGCAATTCAGGCAGAGCTCATGCTGCAGCAAGAAGGCCTGGTAGCTGTCAACCGCTCGCTGCTCGTGTCCTACGAAGCCGAAAAGACGCGGCAACATGGCCTCGAAACGGAGCTGCAGTACATCCGCGCCGGTGAGATTTCCGAGGACGCTTCTGATGCAGGCTCATCCTTGGACTCGTTTTCCGACGATGGCGAGGCCGACGATATCGAGGCGCTTGAGGCACAGCTGGAAGCGCTGTCCAAACGTGCCGACGAGCTCGAGACTAGTAATCAGAGTATTTGCCGCGAGCTGCATGCCGAGCGTTCCGAAGCTGTTCGATTGCGCGCAATACTAGAGATGCAGTGATTCGACTGCTCCAAGTTGCACTATTTTAGACAAACAAAGGAATCCCTCAGTCCACTCTTGTTTTTTTTTTTTTTTTTTTTTTTTGTTCAAACATTAGTTTATCTTTTTTTGGAACTGCAATCCCAATTTTTCATTATGGTTGGAACCAGCAGCGGCGTCTCGTCCTACGCCAGTCGTACTGGCTCGCTTTCACTGTCCACCACCGGCACATCGAGCACCCTCAACCTTGGTGGCAATGCCGGTCTGTCGTCGCTGGCCAACGGTGGCGGATCCTCGAAATCGACCATTCCGTCTCCCGGAATTTTCACGAGCGCTAGTCTGATTGGCAGCCGCAGCAGCAGCAGCAGCAGCCCCGGCCGCTCGACGGCGGACGACCTCACTGGCAGTGTCTTCTACCTGGATGGCCTGACTGGGGCCATGCGCACCACGGCGACCGCGCTCATCAAGCAAGCAGGCGCTGACGTATCTTTGAGTTTTCTTCCCGGAAAGGTGATTCAATCTGCTCAAATTTCGCACACTCGTCCACAACAAGTCATTGTTTTGTTGTCCCACCTCCAGCTTGCATTGCGCAGAATGAGCTGATATTCATAACGCGTGCGTGTGATGAAGTTGCTTGAGAAGGAGGAGGTTGAGGCGGGGTGCGGGAAAAGCAGAGTTTTTCAGGAAGGAGGGAATTGTTGGCGGAAGAACAACACGTCAGTTTTCAGTGAACTGTGACAATGCAAATGCCAACCATGCGCGCGTATTCGGCACATCAACCCCTCAAAATCCGTCATTTTGTGAACTCTTTGCTGTTGTTGTTGTTGTTGTTGACGACCAAAGGGAAGCAGCGAAAGCCCAGCGCTGGTTATTCTTTGGTGGTTCATGACCGTTAGCAAATCGTGCATCCAGATTTGTTGTGTTGACCTTCTTTGGCATTTTTTTTTTTGTTGTTTGACACAGGTCTCGCACGTTGTGCGCGGGCCTGCAGCTGCACTCCAGGCATCGACGCTGGCCGAGGCACGACCAAGCCCAACCATCCTGGCGTCGGTCGATGAGCTCACTTCGTTTGTGCAGAGCGCCACTCGAGTGCGCGGTACGTTCACGGATCAGTCTCAATTTCTTGTCTACAAATGGCACTCACACCTCATCACTCTCGTAGAGCCGCTCGCAGCCAAGTCCGCAATCAGTGCAGGCTCCATTGCTCCTGTTGGCGGCAGCGTCATGTCCCAACCTGGCGGTAGATATCATGCTGCCGATCGCCGCCGTAAGTTTGTTGTTTCCTCCCTTCTACCCCCCTCCTCTCCCCCGCAGATACCTGAACAGCGTCAAGGGGACTGTCGTGGGACTGTCGTCAGTGCTAACGCTTGCCCGACTGCCCCTCCATACCATTACAGAGCAAGCGCCGTCGGGTGCGCTGCCCTTCGCGTCAACCAACCCTGAGGCCATCCCCGTCGTGACCAAAATCGTGCCAGAGCGGATTCCTGCGCGCGGTGATTGCCAACTTGCCATCTACGGCATGCACTTTTCCCCGAGTCCCCAGTTTTGCATTGTTGTGGACTCGATCCGTGCGACCGACTACGAGTTTCACGGTACGTCGTCGGTCTTGTGCAGGCTGCCGGCGACTATGATTGGCCTGTCCCGTGCACTTGTGTCGGCTTCCAACAATGGCCGCGAGTTTGGCATGGGTGTCTATGTCACAGTCGAGGACGCAACGGCAGCGCTCGTTCAGCAAACGCAAGAGCAGCGTCTGACACTGATGGCAAGCCAGCTTTTGAATCTCAACCGTGCCATGTCCAACATTGTTGAGATGGAGCACCAGCTGTTCACCGAAATGAAGGCCCTGGCGCCCAACGCGAACGGCGCGCTTAGCGATTTGTTGGAACAGCTGCAGCGCCAGATCGCAACTGCAGGCTCGTCCTGTAAGTCAACCGACCGTTTTGTTGTGATGCTTTTGAATGAAAAAAAAACCTTGTCTTGAGGCACTGGGGTGACTGACACGACGCTGCGGTGCTGTATCAGCCCTTCCTGCGCTCTCGATGGGGCCCTCACGCATGGCGCTTATGCCCGCTTCTGCCGACACGAGCCGCGTCGTGCCTGGCACTCCCATGGCGGATTTCAAGCCGCGCCCGCTGCCGTCCGCTGTGTTTGACGAGCCGCGAGAAATTCGAGTCTTTATCTCGTCCCCATTCAAAGACATGCAAGGCGAGCGTAACGCAATGGTAGGATTACAACCAAACAACAACCACCACTATCCCTTTGTAATTTAACTCAAGCAAATGAAACACTCACGGTTGCCGCCCTCTGACACTTGACAGACCCGAAAGTCATTCCCCAAGCTGCGCAAGCTCTGCATGGAGCGCGACATTATGCTCAGCTTTGTGGACTTGCGCTGGTAACGTTGGCTTGACTCTCCCTCTTGTCAACTCGCTTGTCAGCTTTTTGTTTTTGGTGCTCATTTTGAAAAATGTTCATTCTACTTGCTGCAGGGGTGTCACTGGCTCACAGAGCGAGCATGGCGTGACGTTGCTGCTGTGTTTGCGTGAGCTTGAGCGCTGCAACGTCGTGGTGGGTTGCCTTGGTGAGCGCTACGGACCGTCTCTCTCCTCCGGCTTGGGTCAGCAGACGCACGACACGCTCTCCAAGTACGTTCCAACGTTGAGTGTATTTTGGCCAATGACCATTTTGTCATCGCCCGTTCACTTGACATATTCTTTCTTTTGGGACGAGCAGATCCGTGGAAGTGGCCTCCAAGCTTTTCCCCTGGGTTTCACAGTACCGCGATCGTAGTGTCACCGAGCTTGAGATGCGCATGGTAGGGATTTGTTTCCTCTCACTCACTCTTTCGTTTTGAGCGAGTGGTCTGGCCAACTCCCTCCCCTCCCAAAAACAAAAAACAACTCCATTCGCAGAAGTCAACCTCATCTCGCGTTGTTTTTCTTTTGACAGGTCTTGTCCCCGGAAGCATCCGCGAAGCGAGCCTGCTTGTTTTACCTGCGTGACCCGTACTATGTCCAGGAAGTGCCCCAGAACCAACGCCTGGACTTTGTGTCGGAAGGCCCCGAGTCGGCGCAGCTTCTGACCAATCTCAAAAAGGATATTCGCGAGTTTGCCGGCAGGCGTCCCGGCGACCAGTTTGCGCATTGCCGCGATTACAAGCGTCCTGCACAGCTGGCAGAGATGGTGTTTGAAGATCTCCGCAAGCACATCGACATCAAATTCCCTGTGGGATCGCAACTCTCGGCGCAAGAAAAGGAGCGCTTCCGCCATGCTTCCACAGCACGCACGCTGCAGCGTGTCTATCTCGCAAACGAAGAGCACTTTAACGCTCTGGACAAGTACATCCAGGGCGACAGCGAGCAGCCCCTGGCCGTGCTCGGTGGCAGTGGGCTTGGCAAGTCTGCCCTGTTGGCCAACTGGTACAAGCGCCACAGCGAGGATCACCCCGAAGACATTGTCTTTATGCACTTTGTCGGGTGCTCGGCTGACTCGACGTCCTCCCGGCTGATTCTTGCTCGTTTCCTGGATGAACTCACCGTTCAACTCAAGTTGCGTTGCCAACCAGCGTTGAATGGCGGCGCGGCCCCTCCCACGAGCAAGGCGGCTCGGGAGCTCAAGATGGCGACTGCCGACGAGTTTGTGCAAGCTCTTTCCACCTTGCTGGAGCAGTACCGGACAATCCCGCGCGTTGTGGTCCTGATTGACGGCCTGGACAAGATTGACACGCGCGGCAACGCACACGAGCTTGTGTGGCTGCCGCACACCTTCCCGCCAGCCATCCGCATGATCTTTACCATGAGCCCCAAGAGCCAGACCTTTGAGGTGCTCAGCAAGCGTGGGTGCGAAAAGCACGAGATCAAGCCGCTGACGGAAGCCGAGCGCAAGGCCTTTGTGCGCATGTACCTGCGCCAAAGCGGCAAGCAGCTCAACGACCAACTTGAGCAGAAAGTTGCTGCCAGTTCAGCCACCGCCAATCCTCTGTGAGCTGATTTGATTTGATTTTTGCGTCGATTGGTATCGTTGATTGGGCTTCTGTACTGACCCTACCCGAGTCTTGTCGCTGCTGCTATGTCAAAATGTGTGTCCTCCTCACCACAGCTTCCTTCAAACCCTGTGCGAGGATATTGCGGTGTACGAGAGACACGACGACCTTGCTGACAGAGTTGCCACTATTCTTCGAGCAACCACCACCGCTGACTTGTACGCCATTGTCCTGCAGCGTCTGATTAAGGACTACGATCCGGATCGCAAGGGCATTGTGCAACACTTGCTGTGCCTCCTGTGGGCAGCCCGTCGCGGCCTCTCGTTCAACGAGCTGCAGCAAGCTCTGGACGGCTTTCAGGTTCACGCCGTGGACTATGAGGACCTCTTGTCTGTTGTGGAGGAGATGCTCAGCTCTGGTGGCGGGCTGCTGTCCTTTTCCTCGGTGGATTTCGCACAAGCGGTCGCCAACACGTTCATGCCCCAGGAAGGCGATCGGTTGCGCTATCACCAGCGGGTAAGTTCTTGATTTGGAAACGCATGTGATGTGCAGAGTACATGCTCATCTCGAAACTTGGCTTTCTTTCGGTTGGACACGACAGCTTGCACAATGCTTTGGCGGCATTCCCGACCTGTCCGATCGAAAGCTGGACGAGCTTCCGTACCACCTGCTGAAGGCAAAGAACGTGCAAGGCGCAATCACGTTCCTGACCGACTGGCGTGTGTTTGACAAGCTTTCGCAGGAGCATTCACGCTACGACCTGGCCAACTTTTGGTACCAGATCGAGGAGGCTTCATCCGGCAAGTCGGATGCTGCAGTGTGCTACCTCGAGCTGATGGGACGTGGTGACTTTCCACCCGGCGTTGTGCGTGGTGACTGCGTCTTCCGTCTGGCCGAGTTCTTGCGCGAGATTGCGAAATACGGTGAGGTTTGAGTATTTTTTTTTTCGTTTGAGGTTTTTTTTTTCTTTTGGATGGATGTTGATTTTCTCACACATACGCGCGCTGGTGGTTTTTTTCGGACACAGACGGCGCCGAAAAGGCGTACACGAAGGCTCGAGAGTACTACATGAATAGCACGCAAAAGCTTCAGGTCGCCATGGTTGAGTGCGCACTCGCGGATCTCAACATTGTGCTGGGTCGCTTTGTCAAGGCCGAGGAGATTTTGTCGCGGGCTGTTGACGTGTACATTGCCGAACTCGGAGAGCATGCCAAGCAGGTTGCCGAAACGCGCAGTCGCCTCGGCACGGCAATGATGTCCATTCCTGGCAAGGTGGCCGAAGCGCGCGGTGTGCTCGAGCTTGCGCTTCGCACTGCCGAGCCGTTGCTGGGAAGCCGTCACCCCATCACCTCGGACATTTACTACAGTCTTGGCTGCACATTTGTGATGCAAGGGTAAGCCGACTGACCTGTCTTGAATGGATGCACGTAGTTTGGCGAGTTTCGGTTTGGTGTTTTTTTGGTTGGGGGTGTGTGTGTTTTGTGGTTCCCTTGAATTCTCACCAAAACTGGGTCGGTCATTTGGGCTTCGGTGGCCAACAGAGAAATGAAGGTGGCCGAGGACTGGCTCATGAAGGCATTGCGCAGCAAGGAGGCCGAGTTGGGCGAGTGGCACCCTGACGTGGCTCGGTGCCTCAATCGCCTCGGCAGCATGTTCATCGAGGCCAACCAGTTCCCGGATGCCGAGAGCTGCTTGACCCGTGCGCTCACCATTCGCGAGAAAAAGCTGGGCCCGTTCCACTCGACCGTGTCTCAGACGCTCAAGCACATGATTTCACTCTACGAGCTGCTGGAAAAGTACGCGGAGGCCTTGCACTGCGGCCAGCGCGCCATCCCCATCATTCGCAAGCTGTTTGGCGAGACTCACAGCAGCACTGCCAGCGTTCTGCTTCGCACGGGCGTGATTGCTTCGCTGATGAAAAACAAGCCGCTGGCGATCGAATATCTCACCCAGGCGATGGAGCTGCGTCGCAAAGTGTATGGCGACTCGCACGCTTTGACCATCGAGGCCAAGGACTTGTTGGACGAGATTGTCGATCCCGCGCACCATCGCAAAGTTGTTGCAGAGCGCGAGGCCGAAAAGAAGCAACAAGAGCTCAAGGCGCAGCAGGCGCAAACGCAGTCGCGCTCGCGCGGCGGCTCCCCACCACCTCCGAGCAAACCTGTTGCCACACGACTTGGAGGCATCCCGCCCCCACCTCCGCCCCCGCCTCCGATGTTTGGTTCCCAGGGCGGCGCACCACCGCCGCCGCCTCCGCCAATGTTCGGAGCTGGTCCTCCTCCTCCGCCGCCTGCAATGTCCAACTTTCTTGGAGGTACGGCACCACCGCCACCACCGCCGCCGCCCGCGATGTACCTCCAACAACAGTCTCAGCAACAGCAGCAGCAGCAACAGCAGCAGCAGCAGCAGCAGCAACAACAACAACAACAACAAAAGCTGCCTGCGACTCGCGGCTACACTTCTCATACCCTTGCAGCCATTGGCGCAGCCACCGCCGCCGAAGCCCGTAATCGGTTCCAGCTGTCCGTGGAGGCTCCTGTCCAGCAACAGGCAGAGCAAGTGCGCCAGGAGCTTGACAAGCTGACTACCGGTGGTCTTCGCAGCCATGGTGTGCAGAGCAACAAGATGGTCGATGCACGCCAAGCGGCCGTCAACATGCTCGCCCTGGAAGATCGCAAGCTCAAGTTCAAAGCTCTGGCAGCCAAGCCCATGTACAACTGGTCCAAGTAGTTTTATTTGTTGTTGTTGTTGTTGTTGTTGTTGTTGTTGTCGCGTATTTTTGGGGTTTGATTTTCTCCTCGGTTTTTGCTTCTGTTGTTTGGCTTGTTGTACATAGTGCATTGTGGTGTTGCAGATACAGTCATACCGTATTCTCCCGATGACATAGACAGTCGCAAAACAAAAAAATAGATGCGCATGCGCACTTTGGGAACGAGGACGATGTGTAAATTTACAAGACAAAATCCAAATTGCGCGGCAGGCGGCCATTGGCATCGAACGCAGGTTGCAGTTGCTGCTCTTGCAGAAAACCCTTGTTGAACGTTTTGGATGTGTACCGTTCGCCGCTGTCGCACATGATGGTGACAATGGTCGAGCCTGCGGGGAGCGTTCGAGCAACTTTTACGGCAGCTGCGGCGTTCAGGCTGGCGGACGGCCCGATGAAAATTCCTTCAAACTGGAGCAGAAAGTAGCCCATCGCGACCGCCTCGGCGTCGGAAACACGCACGCATTCGTCAATGGCGGCTGACTTAAAGTTGGCAGTGAGGCGCATCGACCCGATGCCCTCGGTGACGGTTTTCAATCCGTCCGACACCAGCTCGCCCGTTTGCACAAAGGATGCAAGTCCGCTGCCATGACAATCGGCGAGCACTATCCGAACCCGGCTGTCTTGCTCCTTCAGGTAGCTCGATACACCGCTGATCGTCCCGCCCGTCCCGCTCGCGCAGACGAACGCGTTCACCTTGCCGCTCGTTTGACGCCAGATTTCCGGTCCCGTCGTGGCGCGATGAGCCTCGCGGTTGGCCAAGTTCTCAAACTGGTCTGGAAAGTAGGCTCTTGGAGGCCTTGGGCTGCCCTGCGGGAGTGTGCTCATGGCCTTGTCGGCGTCGGCGTTCATGCGATCGCGCTCGCGCTTGGCTGCATGGTAAAAGTGCTCCGGGTTGGAGAAGGGCACTTGCGGCACGACCAGAATCTCTGCGCCGTAGCGTTCCATCATGTCTCGCTTCTCCTTGGCGACATTGTCCGGCACGGTGATGAGCGTGCGCAGACCCAGAGCGGACGCCACCATTGCGAGTGCAATGCCCGTATTTCCGCCGGTTCCCTCCACGATTGTATCTCCCTGCAGCCATTCTTGTGTGTGAGTGAATGTGTTTATTCAATTCCAATTCAATCTCTCTCAACCCCTGTTGTGTGCTCAGCCGCGTAACGTACCGGGACGAGCAATCCGCGCTTGAACGCGTCCAGCACGAGGAACTTTGCCGCGCGATCCTTGACCGACCCTGCTGGGTTGAGGTGCTCAGCCTTGCCGTAGATCTCGCGCCCAGTGAGTTCCGACAGCGTGTGCAAGCGGACGAGCGGCGTCTCGCCCACCGCCGCAAGAATCCCCTGCATTTCCAGCGGTGCTGATGACGCCATGACTGAGAGTGACTGAGCTTTGAGCCTGAGTTAGTTTGAGCTTTGAATTTGTGCTACTTACAATGTAGTCGTTTGTTTGCTTTTGTTCTTGTATTTGATCTTTTTTTGTTTCTGAGCGGATTTGCCTTTTGCGTTTTGTCCAGTCTTTTTTTTTTTTTTTCTTTTCTATAGACAGAACAGCAGTGCAGCACCTCCATACAATGCCAGTCGTGAACGGTGAGCGGCGACCTGAGTCTGTGTCTCTGTCTCTGTGTCTCTTGTCTCGGCTCGGCCTGCGGCTGTCATCACGAACGCCACACGAATCTCAGCGGGAGGACACAACGCACAGCAAGGCGAGACGAGCGAGAGACGACAAGGGAGAAGACAAAATGTTTCTGGAAAACGATTTCAAGAATGAAACGGCTTTTTTCCAGTGTTTTGCCTTTGTAAAGCGCGCGCGAGAGAGACCAGTGATCCGAGAGACCAGTGATCAGAGACGCAGTGAGAACCACAGAGACACCGGAGACGAGAGACGAGCAACACGAAACAAAACGGAGACGAACTGAGGCTCTGTCATCATCATCATCATCATACACAACACCAATCTGTGCAACCTGACAGACAGACTGACTGAAGCAAGCAAAGAACGCTCATCAAACGACTGACTTTGAATTCGTGTGTGCGTGTGTGTGTGGCGGGCAGTGTCGGTCAAGTGGGGCAAGCAAAAGTACGACGGCGTGCAGCTCGACACGAACGAGCCCGCGGCCGTCTTCAAGGCTCAGCTCTACACGCTCACAGGCGTTGAGCCCGATCGCCAGAAAGTCATGGTCAAGGGCGGCATGCTCAAGGTAACAAAAACTTCATGGGTTGTCATCATTTTGCTTTTTTTTTTCTTGGAAAGATGGGCTCATCATCTTTGGCTCGTACGCCTCCCTCTGAGCAGGACGATGATGCATGGGGCAAGTTTGACATCAAGGAGGTGAGATTTTCTTGGTTGGCGCTGTTGCTGGTGCTGCGATGATGGCTCTGCTGCCTTGATCGACTCAACTTCAATGCGTTCTTGTAGGGTCACTCTTTCATGCTGATGGGCACGGCTGGTACGTTGCCAGCAGCTCCAGTGGAAAAGCCAGCCTTCATTGAGGATATGAGCGAGGCCGAGATCGCTCGCGCGGTAAGATGATTCTGCTCAGTTTGATTGTTGCATGAATTCCTTGACCGTTTTCTCCATGCTCATCTTCAAAACTGTTGCTCGTCTTCTCTGCTCTTCATAGTGTTGTGGCGCGTTACACAATAGGCCCAAGCTCCCTGTCGGATTGGTCAACATGGGCAATACCTGCTACATGAACGCCACTGTTCAATGTCTCCGAGCCGTTCCCGAGTTCCGTCAAGCACTCGAGCGGTAGGTCCTATTAACTTTATGTGCTTGGTCACCACCTTTGATATGCTTTTGGCAGCGTTTCTTTTTTGACTGTCGATTCATATTTTGATGTGCCGCGTGACCATTTTTTCTCAACTGATGCAATCTCTTTTGATGCGTCCCTTCTTTCACAGCTTCGCCGGTGGTGCTTCCAACGATGTCTCGCAAGCTGTCACCGTGGCCATGCGCGATCTGTATCGTGACCTGGACCGAAGCGGAGACGCGGTGCAACCCTTCATGTTTTTGAACACATTGCATCGCGCCGTGCCCAGCTTTGCCCAGCTGTCGCAGCAGCATCAGCTGCAGCAGCAGGACGCCCAGGAGTGCTGGGTTGAGCTGCTTCGGTTCTTTGGCCACCAGCTCCCGCAAGTCTCGTCGAACGGCGCGATCGAACCGGCTTCGCAGCGCAGCAATTTCATTCAGCAGCACTTTGGCGGCCAGCTGCAGGCGCGCATCAGCAACACGGAGATTCCGGAGGAGCCCTCTGAGACCACCACCGAGAGTTTCCTCCAGCTGCAATGCCACATCTCGGCTGAAGTCAACTTCCTCTCACTTGGCCTCCGCAACTCGCTCACCGAAACGCTGACCAAGAACTCGTCGTCCGTCAACCGAGACTGTGTGTATCGCAAGCTCTCGCAAATCTCCCGACTTCCTTCGTACCTGACTGTGAACATGGTTCGGTTTGAATGGAAGGGATCCTCTGGAGCCAAGATCTTGCGTGTACGTTGTTGTTCGCGTTGCCAACTCAGTGGGGACAGAGAGCTCTTGTGACTGATTTTTGCGATTTACCTCACGTGCCCCCCGCCATTGCAGAACGTCAAGTTTGACGCCTACCTCGACGTGTTTGAACTTTGCACCCCCGAGCTGCAGGAGCGTCTCAAGCCGATGCGCACAAAGTTCAAGGCCTACGACGATGCTGCGATCGAAAAGTCGCGGGTGGGTGCCTTTTTTTTTTGTTGTTGTTGTTGAAGTATTGCCAGTTCTGCATTGTTCACCAAACAACTCCGTGGCAATGTCCGATACAGAGCCTGAAAAACTCTGGCGGTGTTCAAAGCATGGACACGAGCAAGGATGAAGTGGTGCAGTACGAGCCGAGCTCCTTCGAGGACGGTACGTTCCATCCCTGGATCGCCTGTCTGGACCTGTGTCGTTGCAAACACTGACGCATGCGTGCTACAGACATTGGCTCGAACAACTCTGGTTACTACGAATTGCAGGCGGTGCTGAGCCACAAGGGACGTTCCGCCAACTCTGGCCATTACCTTGGCTGGGTTCGTCAGAACGACGGCACATGGCTCAAGTTTGACGACGACACCGTGTATCCCGTCAACATGGACGAAGTGTTGAAGCTCTCCGGCGGCGGTACGGCAAACAACGCCTTTCGGTGTTTTTGTTTTTTGTTTGCATTTCACTCATCCTCCTGTATGCACACTGCTTCTCGCGCAGGTGACTGGCACATGGGATACATGCTCTTGTACGGACCGCGCCGACTTCCCAAGGCTTGAGCATGCATTGTTATTTGAGAGACAGGGCACTGGCTGCTTCTTGCATGGGTGATATCTGCGTATGCTTCTCCATGAATCAGACAGTAGCATTTGTTCACATATAGCACGACATACAAGCACACACCGGAACGACTAGTTCATATCAATCGGCATCATTGCGTCCATTGGAGAGACTTCCACATCGCGGCTGGTCGAATGCATAATTTCGCGACGAATTTCGGGTGTGATGAGCGGGTGTGGCTTGGCCTTGAGAAGGTTCATGAGGGCCTCCTTTTGCTCAACAACCAGGTCGGACTTGTAGCGTTGTACGAACGTGAGCAGCGCTTGATGCCACAACACGGGAAGGTCGCGCGGGTCGTTCTGGAATCGAATAAAGTGGAAGACGCACGAGTCCACCACCTGGTATGGCAAGGCGTACTTTTTGTCGAGCAAGACACGCAAAAAGATGCTGTTGGCGCCTACAAAAGAGAGAGAGAGAGAGAGAGAGAGAGAGAGAGAGAGAGAGAGAGAGAGAGAGAGAGAGAGAGAGAGAGAGAGAGAGAGAGAGAGAGTGAGTGAGTGTGAGAGAAAAAACAAACAAACAAGCAAAAAAACACACCCCAACCAACATCGAAAAACAACCCGCAACAGGTCAGGAATCGAGGGTCCATCCTCAACACTATCTGCGGAAAACTCTGCCACAACAAAATTCAAGCTGACATACCAGAGTAAGGCATATCGGCAATACGCAGCATTGCGGCCGCCGAGTGCAGCGGTGGAATGCTGACTTTGGTCATAACACTGGAAATGATGATGGCTTCCCGGAGGGTGCAGTTTCCGGCCTATTTGATTCAAATTTGAGAGAGAGGTTGACAATGTCAGAGATCAACAACACCCACAATCACCCGAAACAAGCAATGAAACAGGAAAAACCAACCTGGCAGAGCGGAAGCAAAATTCCCTTAAAGAAAGCCGCAGGCTTGAACAAGCTCTTCTTCAGAGCCATATACAGATGGAAATTGAGGCGCTTGAACTCGGCAATGTCATCTCGAACACGCGGAAGGAGCACCAAATTGAAAAAGCTATCGGTCGACAACAACCGGAATGAGTCTCCTTGTTTGTGCGGTTGTTTGAAAACACCTCCGAGACGAACTTACCGTTGAGCCATCTTGGCGTTCAAATTGGATGCAAAAATGCGGGTTGCGACAAACACGGCGGCGGCAGACCAACCGTCAGGATTGGTCATGAACAGAATTTCTTCCCAGTTGTTCAACGAGGGAATGATCTTGAACGCTTTTGGCACTTTGCCGCTTCGGTACCTGGCGAGCAGTTGGCCGACACTATTTTGGCATCATCATCATCATCATCATCATCATCATCATCATCATCATCATCATCATCATCATCATCATCATCATCATCATCATCATGACAGCCGCAGGCAACGTTAGTCTCCGTCTCAGCAGTTTCGGTGAACAAACACGCAGTCAATGCAAAAACGCATTCATTTGTCGCATACGCAGTGTAAACTTGAACAACTTTGGGGTTGACCTCAGATTGTTCAGGAAGGTGGGACACATCTGTTTCACAGCCATGAGACGAACAAAAAAGAAGGGTGAGTATCTATCCACATCCAGGATGCCGGTGCTGTCGCAAGCGTTCATACCTGACATGCGCGAGGCAATCTCTGTCTCCTTTTCCTTCATCTTCTCGCGAATAATATCACCGAGGGTGCGGCGAGCCGGGGCATCCCGAGACATGAATGCCTCCATTGCTTGCTCGTCAGCTTCGTCAACCTCGACCGTCTGCTCAAACATCTCCTCGCTCGCCTCGTCCTGGTACAGTTCCGGGTCCGCAGTATCGTCCTCGGCGTCAGAGTCGTCGTCGGCTTGTGCAGCAGCCTTGCCCTTTGCACTTGCAGCAGCAGCCTCGGGTTGCTTGGGCAATCGGCGTTTGGCCGTCCTGCGGAGCACGCACGAGGCGGAGTGAGACAAACGCGAGCCGTGTCGCCGTTCGCACGGAACCAGTCGCTCCAATTCGAACCGGCAATGAACAAGGAGTGCTTACAGAGGGTCGTTCACGCCGAGCTCCTCATGCTCGAGCTCAGCCAGCTGTCGGTGTGCCTGAGACAGAATCTTCTTGGACATTTTCTCTTCGACGAACTGCGAGCGCAACAAGCCCCGGCATTTCAGTGAGTTTACGACGTTCCATGCAAAAGAAAGCCAGTTCAACCACATGCTCGGTAGTGACGACAGGGAGGCTGCCCTGCCTGCCGTGGGGCGCCAGTGAGGGTTGGAGGCTGTCTGTCACTCCCATGTGGTTCGCTCGTCTCACACATGGCTGCACGAACGATTTGACCACCTTACAAAACCAGCCCTCCTCCCCACTCCCGCTACAATGCCTAGTTGTATTGCTCCGAGTTGTGCAAGCCCACCCTCCCACCCCCCCAACGAACGTGGATGCGATTGCTGGACACGAAGGAAGCGGCACGAGGCACAGCGCAAGCAGCGCAAGCTTGTGCTCACCTCTTCAAACTCGCCAGTCTTGTTGACCTTGCCGGCCCTGGGACGCGCGCGGACCTTGGGTGCTTCGTCCATCTCGATTTGCGTGCCGAGCGGCGTGTGGCGGTTGGCCTTGGTGTTCTTGCGCGTGGTGGCAATTTCCTTCATTTCGAGTAAGGAACAGAAAAGAGGAAGAAAAAGTGAAATGGTTTTCGCTCAAGAGTTAGTTCCCATCCGAGTACGTTGCACGAGAGCTGTTGGGTACACCGGTATGTTCAAGGAGCAAATCTCAAAGATGTGGTGGTGGTGGTGGTGGTGGGGGGTGTGGGACGAGAAATTGAGGATTTGAGACAATTTGCGAGCTTTACCGTTTGATCTACCCAGTCTACAGTCCAGAGCGGCTCCACTGCAGCCTCCAAATGACATCAACAAACAACCGACCAAAAGTCAAGTACTCGGACTGAGCACACTCACCCGACTCGCACAGAAGCGTGGACACGTCATTTCTCCCGAACGCAGCAGCTTTGATCTTTCAACGCGGACAACTGTGAGACGCTCGTCATCCGTCCCATCCCGTTCATGTTCGCCGCATCAATCCGTACGAGCAGTCTTGGCGCTGGACGTCAACGCAAAATCCCTACCCTCCACAAGTCGAATTGACAACAAGCAATTAAAATGACGCCTTGTGTGGTTTTGTTTATGTTTGATGGATTCGAATTCGATGCTTGTTGTTTGCCCTCAATGTCCTGCCCTCCTCATCGTTATTACTCGTCGTTTCAAGCAGTGACAAGAAAAAAAAAGGCCCCCCCCCCTTTCAACACAATGTTGCCACTCGCGCATTTTTGGCGCCTGGTCGAACGCAGGGATGGAAGGGCCAGCCAGCCCAATGACACCACCCAAAGATTTGATCCTTCCAATCTTCAGCAATCGATTTCCTTCCCACTAGCTGCCCGACGAAAGGGACACAGTACATCGCTTACTCAGCACATCTTGTACTCGGCAACGGTCTAATGCTGTTGCATGGTCCAAGATCTGTTCGGTATTTTCCATCCCAAACACAAAATAAAAACAAAAGTTCAGTTCTCCTTTTTTTTTTTTTTTTTTTTTTTCCGTCTTTTTCGTCGCTGCTTTTTGGTAATTTTTTTTTTTTTTTTTTTTTTGCTTTTGTGGTTTGAGATTCGTCCCGCTCCTTTGCTCTGTGGGGCGTCCTCGTCGCGCGCGTTCGCAACCCCGCATAGATCCCACACTAGTATCGGCGTTGAGCATCGGCGGGGAGGTCAGGCAGGGGAGTGGCACCCGAGGACGCGCTCGCGAAAAGAGCAGAAATTAAAAATGCATTTTTTTTTAGGTGTTGTGGATTTTTTTTTTTTTTTTTTGGGCTTCTTGTTGCACGTTGCCTTCCTTCGTGCTGCCAAGCCGCCCTGGGTGATCCCCTCTTCCAGTCTTGGCTTTTGAAATCGCGCTTTTGGCGCAGAGTCCATGCCGGTGGCGGGAGCGGGTGCAGCCCAGTTGGTGGTTTTTCGATTGGCAACCAACCACTCATGAAGAAGCAGCGCATCGAAGAGAAACAACACAAAACAAACAGTTTTTTTGAAAAGAAAGGGGCTCCTCCTTTCGCTTGGCCGAGTCTGTTCCTCGCGTTCTGCGCGTCACTCGTCTCATCGCTCGGGCTTATTGGTGCTTGATGTGGGGGTCAATCCATGTTGGAGTACTGGCACTCCTCTCGAAGTTGCAGAAGAGTGGAGGGGCTCTTTTTTTTTTTTTGTTTTTTTTTTTGTTTGATGATATTTATTTTTAAAAAGCATTTTTTTTTTTTTTTTTGCGTTCAACCGCGTCACCTCGATCAATGCGTTTGTTTCACGTCGCTTTGGACTCTGATTTTCACCACACCCCGTGTGCTTGCAATACTTCTCTCGGTTCTGCCCTCTTTTCTTTGGGGTGGAGCATGAAGAGCGTTGCGGTACCGTTGGTGATGTGAGAAATTGAATAGCAAAAAGAAAAAAAATATAAAAAATAAAAAAATAAAAAAATGTCGAGATCCACAACACAACAATCAAAAGGCGCACAAAACGATTGCGGACCTTTGCTCCCACGCCAGGCTCGCGCCCTCGGGACCCAAAGCATGGGCGCTGTGATGCGATGCGATGCTTTCTGTCTCTTTGTGTGGAGCTGGATGTGGAGGCTGCATACTGAATCGACGCTTTGTTTTTCTCAAAACACACACACAAAAAAAAAAAAAAAGAAAAAAAAAAAAGAGCCACTCAAAGTCCATTGCAAAAAAAAAGAAGAAAAAAGCTTGCTTTTTTTGATTGCCGTGCCTCCATCATTCGCTTCGCTGGCTGTGCGTCGTCTGCATCCCTTCCTTCCTCTCTTCTTCTTGAACTCTTGTCCCCTTGCTCGGCGTGGACCCGTCCATTGCTTTCCTTTTCGAGTTTGTTGCCGGACAGGCAGGACGGGAGGGGTTTCTGTCACTATTTTCTGCTGGCTCGCTTTTGTGTTTTTTTTTTCTTCGTTCGTTGGCATGTTTGTGTAATCCAAAATAGCAGCTCGTCGACTTTGTATTTTTTTTTTGTTATTTTTCTTGTCCTTTTTTTTTTTCTTTCTTGGGTCGCTTTTCAAACTGCTCATCCTCTATCTCTTTCTTCATCTCACCTCAACTGCTCGCTTTAATCGCGTGCACGATCAAAAATAAGCCCATCTTGACTTTTAGATTTTTTTGTTTCCCCTCCCCTTTTTGCATCTTTTCACCTTTCCCCCTTCTGATCTCGCACTCACTTCTGGCCGCCTTCTTCTTCTATTCCTTTCTGATATCCTTGACAAACGACAGCATCCTTTGCATTCTCCGTCAGCGTTTCGACAAAACAGACCCACAGGCAAAAACAAACAACTTGCACTTTACCTTGTGTGTTTCCGAACAAAGCAATGGCCGACGAATACAACCAACTGAAGGCAACTGCCGAAGAGCTCAAGGCCAAGATCAAGGCCGATCGCGACTCAAAGAAGGACACAACTCTGCTTGAGGCTGCCAGCGATGTTGCAGAGCTGCCGCGTCTTTCGATGCGCGTGCGGCGCTCGCTCCGCGGCCACCTGGCCAAAATCTACGCCATGCACTGGTCGACCGACAACCGACACCTTGTCAGCGCTTCACAAGACGGCAAGCTGCTCGTCTGGGACGCGTACACGACAAACAAGATCCACGCCATTCCTCTGCGTTCCTCGTGGGTCATGACGTGCGCATATGCTCCATCTGGCAACTTTGTGGCGTGCGGTGGCCTTGACAACATTTGCTCAATCTACAACCTCAAGTCGCGCGAAGGCGTCGTCCGCGTCACCCGCGAGCTTGCCTCCCACACTGGGTATCTCTCCTGCTGCCGCTTCCTCTCGGACCGCGAGATTGTCACCTCGTCTGGCGACATGACGTGCGCTCTCTGGGACTGCGAAACTGGCCAACTGCGGACGTCCTTCCAGGGCCACGCTGGTGATGTTATGAGCTTGTCGCTTTCCCCCGACGCAAACCCCAACACATTTGTTTCCGGTGCCTGCGACGCACAGGCAAAAGTCTGGGATATCCGCGAAGGCCGAGCTGTTCAGACATTTACTGGCCACGAGTCTGATATTAACGCTGTCCACTATTTCCCCTCGGGACAGGCTTTCGGTACCGGTTCGGACGACGCTACCTGCCGTCTCTTTGATCTCCGCGCTGACGCCGAGCTCAACCAGTACACCCACGAGAACATCCTTTGCGGCATCACCTCTATTGGCTTCTCTCTCAGCGGTCGTCTCCTCTTTGCCGGTTATGACAACTTTGACTGCAACGTCTGGGACACCCTCAAGCGCACTCGCGTTGCCATTCTCCCCAGCCACGACAACCGTGTCAGCTGTCTTGGTGTCTCCTCGGACGGTCTTGCCCTGTGCACCGGCTCGTGGGATTCTCTCCTCAAGATCTGGAACTAAGCGACTGCTTAATTCTTTGTTTTTTTTTTTCCGTCTCATTCTGCTTTCCGTTTTTCCTTCTTGTCGCTTGTGGTTTGTGTAATTCCTGTGCTCTTTTCTGTCTTTTCTTCCACAAGAAGTTGTTCCTTTTCAGCTTTTCTTTCTTTTTTTTTTTCTTATTTTTTGCGTGAATGCCTTTTCTTTTCTCTTGCAATTTCTTTACGCTTTGTTTTTTCTTTTCTCCCCTTTTTGATTCAGCAAAAAATGTCTCAGCGTTTTAATTTTTTTGTATGTTCTCGTGTTCCTTGCTTGCGCATTGTGTTGTTTTATTCCTTCTGACCTCTAGTTGTTTTCTAGTGCAATGGTTGTTTGTTGACTGACTTGTAGGATTTCAGTAAAATGTTGTCTTCCTTCCTCCTTCTTGGCTTTGACTGTGACGTGTTCACCGCAGCCACCCCGAGGCAACTCTGCTGACCATACTCTTTGTTGCTCTTCAACCATGCCATATGCCATGCTGCTGCACTCGTACAAGTTGGAGGGGGTGTGAATGAATGAACTCTAGTCTTTTTTTTTTTTTTTTTTCAATTTTCTATCCAATGTTCAAGCTGTCACTCTGCTTGTTCGCCGCGCTCTGCTGCGCCACGGCTGCCTACGCTGCCCCGACGCCGGTCGTCATCTGGCACGGCATGGGTATGTTGCGATCAACGCGTCCCAGTCGCAGACGGGGAAAAGCGAGAGACAGAGGCGACGAGATAGAGAGCGCGTTTCGTTGTGATCGGAATCAGCCAAATGAGCCGTCGACGACCAGCTGACATCTGCATGGCCAACCGAGGTATCCCACGAGTGCTGACTGCAGTTGCTTGTCATCTACCCCCCTCTCTTTCAACATCTGCTTCTCGACAGGCGATTCCTGCTGCAACCCGCTGAGCATGGGCGCCATCAAGAAGCTCATTGAGCAGAACATCCCGAACGTTTACGTGCTCTCGCTCGAGATTGGCAACAACGTCGCGGAGGACGAGTAAGGGCGCTAGTCTTGTGTCACTTGCTCTTGTTGGTATCGTGTGTGTGTGGGTGTCTGGGTGGGTGAAGCGCGGCAGACGTGGATGAAGCCGCTTCGTACCCTCCCAGGGTTGGGTGTGGTGGAAACGGCTAATTCTTGGCGATGCGAAAATTGACTTCTCACCTCGAGCGCGATTCGTCCCGTCACATCTCTTGTCCTCCTTTTTGCCGTGTTCTTGTAGAGCCAACGGTTTCCTCAAGAACGTCAACAAGCAGGTGAGCTTGCGACAACTAGACTTGGTTTTTAGTGTTGACCGATTTTTGTGACTCGTTTTTTTTAGCAAACGTTTTCTTTTTCTGTTTTCTCACGTCCCGTGTCCACGCCGCTGACTTTTCGGTGACTTCTGCGTCCTTTAGGTCGAAATGGTTTGCGAGAAGCTCGCCAACGACCCCAACCTGGCCAACGGCTTCCACGGCATTGGTTTCTCCCAGGGCTCCCAGTTCCTGCGCGCCTACGTCCAGCGCTGCAACAAGCCCGCGATGAAGAACTTGGTCTCGGTTGGTGGTCAGCACCAGGGTGTTTACGGTTTCCCCAAGTGCCCCGGCGCCAACTCGACCCTTTGCGAGGTGACTCGTCGCCTGCTCAACATTGGCGCCTACGTCGACTGGATCCAGGCCACTCTTGTCCAGGTAAAATTGATTTCTGTGGAAGCGTTGTTGCTTTCTGTTGTCGTTCGTTCGTTCGTTCGTTTGTTCGTTCGTTTGTTGCCGTTTTCAGTTGGTTGCTGATCTACCTCTGATTCTTCTTCGTTTCTTCCATGCTTCTCCCTTCTTCCTCCGACTTGCCCCTGCATGCAGGCCGAGTACTGGCAAGACCCCTTCAACCTGAAGGAGTACGAGGAGAAGAACATCTTCCTCGCCGACATTAACAACCAGAAGGGCACGATCAACCAGACGTACATTGACAACCTGAACTCGCTCAACAAGATGGTCCTCGTCAAGTTCACCGAAGACACCATGGTTCAGCCCCGCGAGTCCGAGTGGTTTGGCTTCTACGCTCCTGGCCAGGACAAGCAGATCATCAGCATGAACCAGACCGACATCTACCAGCAAAACCTGCTTCCCCTGCGCACCATGGAGCAGGCTGGCAAGATTGATTTCCTCAGCGTCGTCGGCGATCACCTCCGTTTCACCGACGCGTGGTTTGTCTCGACCATCATCCCTTACCTTGCTCAGTAAACAATGTCCGCGCATTTTTGAACGGAGCCCTCGAGTCTCCCTGCATGTTGCTGCTGTATTTGCCGCGTTGATGTCTGCGGTTCCTCGCGGTTGTCGGTTGTAGTTCTTTGGCAGCCAATACAGTAAAGTACGGCGCAACACTGCAATTTCAGACCTCCCAAACAAAAAAAACCAAACAGAAAAAACAACAAAACAAAAAAAGGGGGTGCAATTTGCAAGTCTTTGTCACTATTCCATGTTCAGTTTTTGCATTGCCTTCTTCAGTGTACAATACAATGATGTTTTACAATGACTTTCAGAGATCCTTCCACGAAGATACGAGTAATGGGTTGATGATGAGAGTGATGATAGGGAAACAAGAGACTTCACTTATACAAAGCGACGAGTGAACACACTCCAAATACAGATACACATCAATCCATAACACTCCGCCTTTCTTTCCCCCCCTTTCGAGACATTCCCAAAGCACTAGCGCTTCTTGCGTTTGGCACTTTCCCGAGTAGGCTTGTTCGGGTTAGCCTTATGAAATGCCTCCGTCATTCGATGGTGTTCTCCAAACACCTCCCACGGCTCAACAGTCGGTTCCTCCACGCCTGTCCACTTGACCTTGTACCAGAGCGTTCCTTTGTCAATAAAAGAATCAACAATCTTTTCCGCTTGATAATACTTTTCGCCTTTCATGTGAATGGGACGAGGCTCGGACACTGGCCGGCCAGGTATGCCATCCGCCCCCACGGCCTTGACCCGTGAAACATGGAAGCGAGGATGATGCTTCATGAACTTTGGCAGGCGAAGCAGCACGGTGTGCTTGTCCGCCTCGAGCACTTCGAACGGACCAATGTACGTCGGGTTGAACTTCGTGGCCACCGTCTCGAGACGCAGCTGCCGCGTGTCCAGCCACACACTGTCGCCAACCTGGTACCCAGGGGCGGGAGTCCGGTGCTTGTCCACTTTGGCCGAACTGAGCTCATTCGCTCGGGCCAACTCCTTCCTGGTGTCCTCAACAATCGTACGAATGAGCGCGATGTGCTCATCAACGTCCGACTCTCGTTCAGGAGGAGTAATTTTCCATGACGTCCGAGCTTCAAAGCCCTGGCTCGCCATGAACGGCGTCACCTTTGTGCTTGCGTTGACCGACGAGTTCATGGCAATCTCGGCCCAGGGCAGCAACTCCACCCAATCGTCGTGACTGTGGTTCACGTAATTACGCAAAACCTGAGCCATCACTGCATGCTGTCGCTCAAGAGACCCGTTCGTGTTGGGGTGAAACGACGTTGACGCCCGCTGCCTAATGCCAAGCCCCTTGCAGATGCTGGTCATGTGCTCAGCTAGGAACCGTGAATCACGATCGTGCAGCAGCGTGTTGGGCAGCCCATGGTACGCAAACACGCGATCCATGAGCGCCCTCGTCACCATCGCGCTACTGCTATCCTTGGAAAACGGGATGAGATGCACCTGCTTTGAAAGCAAGCACTGAGCAGTGAGCACCGCGTCGTGCTTGTGCCCACGGTAATCCTTCGACGGCACCAGATCCGTGACCAAGTCAATAGCCACATCCTGCCACACACCAGCAGGCACTTCGATCGATGCGTTCAGGCCAGCTTGCTTGAGATGCGACGGCTTGTTCTGCTGGCAGAGAGTGCAACCAGCCACGTACTTTTCGATGTACTCCATCATGTTGTGCCAAACATGCGTTTGCTTGACACGCAAATTCGTGCGGTGCTTGCCACCATGACCCGCCCCCTTGGCATCGTGGCACTCGGCCACAACCAGTCGACGACAGTCACCTTCCGGGACGTAGATGCGCTTGCTCCCATCTCTCCAAAGGCCATCAGCCAGCGTGAGTCCGAGCAGCTTCTGCAACTTCTGGTCAGGGGGGCTGGTGCCAACTTGTGCGCGGATCTGATCCTCGATCGACACCTCCGCCGCCACCGCCTTCGCTGCGCTTTGACCTGCTCCAGCCGACGTGCTCGCCACTGTGGCTGCGGCCGCGACCGTGCTGTCCAGCTGACCCGGCGTGAACGCCTTGCGAGCGGCTTCGCCTCGCACACTGCCCTCAAAGTTTGGGTTGCGTGACAGGCAGTCTGCCAGAGGCTGCGACACACCAGCCGTGAACACAATCTTGAAATCGCACTGGCTGAGCTCCTCGATCCATCGCGCCATCCGGTAGTTCCTGACCTCCAAGTTCTGGTAGTTCACCAAGTTCTTGTGATCCGACTTGAAAATCACCTTGTGCCTGGATCCCGTCAGCAGATGTCTCCAACGACGCACTGCCCGCACAATCGCCAACAGCTCCTTATCCGTCGTGCTGTAGTTCCGCTCCGCGCTTGACAGACGCTTCGAGTAGTACCCCACCAGTTTGAGACCTTTCATGTCCGACGGATTGCCACCAGGCTTCATGTTGTAGAGCACCGCGCCCGTGCCAATGTCACTCGCATCAGCCTCGCACACAAATACTTCATCACGCCGCGGCAGCCGCAGCACCGGGGTGGACGTCACGACCTTCTTGATCCGTGAGAAAGCTTGCTGGCACTCCTCCGTCCAGACAAACTTGACGTCCTTCTTGAGCAACTGGTCCAGCGGCGCCCGCATGTCAGCAAATCCTTTGATCCAGCCGCTGATGTGCCCCACCGCGCCAATGAACGAGCGCACCTGCTTCCTCGTCTTGGGGACGGGGAAATCCAGCATGGCCTGCACAGCCGACTTCGTCGTCGAAATGCCTTGAGCGCTCAGCACAAAGCCAAGCAGAGGCACTGCCGTTGCAAAGAACTCGCACTTGCTCAGCTTGAGTGGCAGCTGGAACTCGCGCACCCTACGCAGCACCGCGCGGGTGTTCTCGATCAGTTCCTCCTTGTTCTTGCCACCCACGATGATGTCGTCCTGATACGCCGCGACGCCCTTGAGCCCACGCAGCATGGCATCCATCAAACGCTGCATGGCCACGCTTCCGACTTTGATGCCGAAGGGTAGCACCGTCCACTTGAACACGCCACGGTGCGTCCTGAACGCCGTCGCGTTAATGGAGTCCTCGTCTGCAAGCCGAATACAGTTAAAGGCTTTAGAAACGTCGAGCTTGCAAAAGATCGTCATGCCCGCCATCGATTCCATGATATCCTCAACTGTTGGCAGATCGTGGACCTCAGACAGA